AACAACTCTAGTTACTTAATATAAGATCATTTATTTATTCAGGTTTCTGTACTTTCCTTCCAGAACTGCAGTCAGGTCATAATTTTGAATGTTAAGTTTTGCTTGCCATCTTAAACAACTACCTTTTAGTCTGTATTAATTTGGCAGAGACAGGTATTACTTTAATTGGTGAATCCAGTATACACATCCTCATAGCATTTATTGCAGCTTTCTTCATTAACTACCTGTGTTTGCAGGTGAAGACTTTTCAGTTTCACTTTCTGGTGTATGAACCAAACCTGCTATTGCAGGGAAAATGGCAAAAAATGGTGTTCCTTCCTTTCTCTGTAACCCTCAAATGCTTTTAGTAAATAATATATTGCATTTAAGTACATAAAGCAGTGATGTAATAAATGTAATATATTCTTTAGCATGTAGCATTTAATTAGATAAATCAATAAATAAACCACAAATGCCATATTACTAGATAGGCAGATGTACTTTAATAGAAGGCAAAAGGAATAGTGCACAATTTCAGGATACTAACTGTAGTATCTGTAAACATTCATATCTAAAATTAAATGATTGATCAGCTATTGTATAATTCAAACAAAAACATCTTATAATAACTAATGCATTTTCTAATAATTGAAGGACTTTGTTGCTTTCATTTTGACAAACTTATGAATTAAGTTATCAAAAGTGATTTGTCTAGCAAGCTTATTTTTCTCTGAGACCATAATAAAAATGTGTTAATTCATCTTTGCCCTGGATCTTGGGCAGCCCTTTACAACTTTATTATGATGCAAGCAATGGAGGGTAGCAACTAAACATTCTTGTTTTATTTTTATTTATTTCATTTATAACCTGCTTTTTGTCACTCCAAATATCATAAAGCTATATTAGGGTCCTATTCCTCCTCCCTCCTTCTCAGGGCTGCTGTTTGCCATAAAATGCAGTTCTCAGACAAGGAGTCACTCTGCAGTACACCAGGTAGCCTGAGCCTGCAGGGAATTCTTGCTAATAGGTTTCCTGTTGCATTCTGAAAATCTGCTGCCCTGCAGTGAATGGCTGGATAAACCAGGGGTGAGCAAATGGCCCTTTAGATATTTTGTTCTATGACTCACATCAGCCCAAGCCAGCATAAGCAGTGGTGAGGATTGATGGGAGTTGTAGGCCAAAGCATCTGGGGCTATAAGATTCCCACTTCTGGAATGGGCACTGTTCATTATATAAGAATGGACCTATGCATTATGCCTCTTTCAAAAAATTATGTATTTCAACTCATTTCATTTCATGGGAAGTCCCATGCCAGAAAATTTTGGATTGGTGGAAAGACAAGTGCAATTTACCTTAGAATTGTCTTCAGTTCCTACTATGTACAGGATTATTCTCCCCTAGTTCATGTGGAACTTACTTTTTGAAAAGAGCCAATTATCAAGAGCATATGACTTCTTTGTTATCATACCTTTACAGATTACAAATACCTTGTCTGGAAGATCACAGGGAAAAAAGATACTTTGTTTCTTTCTCCCTTTGCCCACTCTCTCCCTGTATACCATATGCTTTTGCATGCTGTAATAGTGTAATATAATACAGCTCTGCCTCTTTAGCCTGGCAAAATCCCCTATTGTTCTGGGTTTGCGTATTATGACAACTCATGGTTTAAACAACCTAGAGTTCATATGCTCTCCCATGGGTTTCTTTCTGGGTTGTTTGTGATTAACAAACTAGGTTTATTAGTATGGTCACAATCACAACACAGTGATCCAGAATTCAACATTGCATACTGTTGGGTAGCATTGTGTGTCAGCCAAACCAGCATGTGGAGACCTTTAATTTCTGCTGGGCATTTTATCTGGTGTTTCTTCTTTATTTTAGGATATTGAAACAGGTAAGATAAAATTATTTTAATTAAAAGAAACTAGGATGTACAAACTATATTAGATAAATAAGAGAGTACTGAAGGGTGGGTTGGATCCAGACATTGTCATTCTTAAAGTAGACCTTTTAGTCACTACTAATTTACGTCCCACTGGTTTCAGTGGATATGTTCCAATTATGACCAAATATGGATCCATCCTTGTACGTGTATGGAGAAGTAATGGATTGATTAATATTAGAGGCAGGATGCAGGGAGAACCAATAGAGGAGTAGCAGGTAAGGTGAAGACAGAAGTTTAGGAATGATTTTAAACTAGTAAATGGGAAGATTCTAGAATTTCACTCTTTCTGCTATGTAATGCCATTCATTTTTATAAGGGAAAGAAAAATCTTTCTCCCTATCCCTCCCGTTTTCTCCACTGCAGTGTAACATGGGAGACATTGTGCTTTTTCTGTCGCCCTGGAATATATTAGAAACCATAAAAACCTCAGTTCAGATTCCATCATCTTATACTTGAAGTTGGGATGATTTGTCCCAGTGTATATCACTGTGCTTGAACTGGAGCGGCTCATGCTCAGAGAACTGACTTCCTGACAAGACTCTTCCTCATACAGCTTTAGGTGGGTTGGCCTGGCTGTTGCCGCAGCCAATTTGATTTGTTTGGAAAGCAAGGGATGCTGTGGCTTATTAACTGGTCTGCAGTAGTTTCCAGAAGGTGGGATTGTAGGACAGTTGAGCACCCCAGGACTGGAGATTTTGTATTAGATAAGAGGACAAAAAGTGAATGTGTCCTTGGAGGACCCAAGGTAATAGTGAATGAGTTGTGTAAAAGATCAAGGGTAGGTGTTTTGTTGCATGAACTTGTTGGTGGACTCTCAATGTTGGGATGAGTCTATTTCTGGGCTTTAGTTTGAGCTGCTCTACAAGGCTCAAGGTCTGAGCCCAAGCAGAAGCTAACCTTCACTTTTTTGTTTCTAAATGGAGTCTTCCTGTAGGTATGCCTTCACAGTGGCTGTTGTCAACATAAAGCTGTTTATTGGCACTTTCTAAGCTTGGGTTTAGTTTAAATATGGAATCTTTGTTGAGCAAGGCTAAACAAATTGGTAAGAACTGCTGCTGGAATTTTAGCTTTTATCTGAAAATCCATAAATGGCTACCCTTAAGGAATTTAGCTCTCTTTGCTAGGCTCTTGTAGGTCATCTGACCATTTGATTTATCATGAGTTATAAATTCCTCAACAGAGGACATGTTGATATTTCTTTTACTTAAAGGTACTGAAGTTATCACAATTTTTGGATGTCTCAGCTTGAAATCTCAGCTTGAAAAATACTGATCACAGCTGGATGTCTCAGCTTGAAAAATATTGATCACAGAATAGCATAACAATTGAAATCTGCAGGATATCTTACTTTGACCTTGTTTAAATAAAACAATTAATTTGAAAGAGTTTACTTTTTCCCAGATATTAAAATAGAGAGTTAAAAATGAGCTTTTCACTTTTTTTATCTTTTCCCCATTGCTTAGCTTTGCTGGTGGGTTTTAATTTGTTTACTTGGCCTATCAAGGTGTTAAATGTCATCCCTTTCAAGAACAGGAAGAAGCTAGCCAAAATGATCATGTTATATATATCATTAACAGAGGTTTATTTTAAGTGGACTATTCCCACTGCCTAGCATGAAGATCTTGTAAAATTAAGTGCAAGTTTAGTTTTTCTATTCTATTTCAAATAGACCAATATAAACATTTTAACATTTGATGGAGGGAGTCCAGAATCATATCTTAGATTACCATATCTTTTTGTACCTGATTTAGGCATACTTTTAGTTGCATAAAGAACATACTCAAGTGCAAGTGTAGAACAGCAAAAACAACCAAACTGGAGCTGGTTGGTAAGCAGCAATTTTTACAATGTATTTATTGCTCAGCTATAACATTTCCCATAGCACTTGAGTATTCTTTGCTTCTGTATAAGAAATATTCCTTGTACATGCAATATTTGCATAATAGAAAAGGCAAAACTGTGTGCATTCTATAACACCATATCATGCAAAATTGCTGGTATGTTTTCTTATATTTTATCATGGAAATTGATATTTTACTCTTCAGTCCAAAGACTATTAAAGCAGCTTACAGTTAAAAACATAACAACAGGAGTCACCAAGTAAAACAAGTAGAACTACAGCAATTAAAAAGGTATTTAAAAAGGCTGAACAAACAGGTCTTCACCAGGAATTGAAAAGATAACATTCTGGACCAATCAGGTTAGCCTTCTTGAGGAGACCATCTGGCAGTGAGGATGCTGTAACAGAAAAGCCATTTCCTCAGCTTCAGGGAAGGGCATCATGGCTTAATCTTAAACACAGGCAGGTTTGTGTGTGAGAAGTTGGTCCTGTCAAAAATAGGTGGTGGATACAGTGTAGTGGTAATGGGTGAAGTGAGCTCTGATGAAAATAATACTTTCAAGGGTTAGTTTGAGAATCTGAAGATGTATTTATTTAGCAGGAGAATCTCCTGTTGTGGTAAGACACTAAAGATTGGTTGCTGCTCAGATAATCATGAATATTCATCTTCTGACTGCCTAGAATCTGAGATTTTGCTTCCAGTCTTGTTGTGATAGCCATACGTTAAATACTAATCCATCTTTGATGTGCTCAAAATCTAGCATTCTTCATTGAGTCCAAAACAGCATGTTCTGTGCATGCTAGCATTAAATCATTTTATATGCTATATATCGCCAACTAACAGCTTGTGGTCCCTGGCTTTCTGGTGGACAGAATGTTGGACATGAATTTCAAACCTTCATTCTTTCCTTTTTTGGATGAACATTAGCAAGTTTCCTTCATTCACCTTCAATTCTTGCATTTTGTATCCTGGAAAACATTGATCTTAGTGATCTGTACTGATGAATATCTATGACTTTTATAAAGACATAGAGAATAATAACTGAAAGAAGCTTGCTAAAATTACATGCTTTGTGGGGATGCTTACCACAGAGGGAGGGTTATAAGAATGCCGTAGTATGCTTGGTATGGATTAGTCAGGCAAAATGTTGGAGCAAGATGTATAAACGATAAAACAGTGAGCAAAGAGCTACATAAGGAAGTTTGTTTTATATTATTTTTGTCTTCCTTTTCTAGATAACGTTTGAGACAGAATGGCTGATCAGCATCAGGACTTCAGTATGTCAGATGACCATTTGGTGAGCCAAGCTAGGTGGAACCAGACAGGTGAGTCTTACCAGGTGGGAGACAGGAAGGAGCTTCTTCCACAGGGCAGTATCCAGGAAAATGGGGTTGCACAGTATAAAAAAGAGTGAGAAAGGCCATCAGTGGGGGTGCAGCCTGGAAGTGTTAATGGGGTAAGGAAAGGTTAGTCTATGAATCTTTGTCAGATTACCTTCATCCATATTTACATTGCTTACTGTCAGTAATTTTTGTTCAGTATTCAAGGCATTTTGGAGCCTTGTCGCTTAAAGGTTGTGGGTATGACTAGCAAAGTGACTGTAAATATGGTATTAAATGGTCTGAAAAGATAGATAAGAGATTCGTAAGCTGAGAGGAAAACCCATGCAATGAGAGGAGATACTCATTTCCAGAACAGGACTGGTCAATGGAAGTCTCTTCTATGAGCTCTGTTGATTTGTACACTTTTAGTAATAGGTGCTTATGTTTGTTTCAGATTACTTTGGAACAGTTGCTATCTCCTTGTACTCCTGGCACATCTATCAGATATCAGAATAAAAATTGGAGTATATGAATTGCTGTCTTGCTGTCACTTTTCAGAGATTCTGTTATGCTGGAAGGGAAATTTTGAACTAAGAAATAGACTCTTATGCTTATGAAATATGCAAAGTTTATGGAGGCTAATTAGGAGAAAGTAAAGGCTATTCCAAAATTAACAGTGGTTGTCTCCAACCAAGTAGTCTTCTTGTCCTTTGATTTGGATTAAAATTTATTCATTGGATTGGGAGTACAGTTAATGTGTGTGACATGTCCTCTGTGTAATGTGTGTGCATGTGTGTATTTAAGAATCATGAAAATAACTTCAATTTCTAGAGATTTCAGTTTCTTTTTGCAGAGCAATGTCCTGCAGCTACAAAAAAGCATACTGTCTGTGGGAGTTCAAAAATCGTATTAATGTCTTGTTATTATTTTTTACCAGTGCTCTTATTTTTCTGAAGCTTCGAACAATTCCAGAGTTCATTTCTCAGATATCAGGATTTGTCTCTTTTAGTGTGTGTTTATTTATTATTATACTTTTATTATTCTCTGTAATACTATTTTAGGGTCCTCAAAAGAACTTTTAGTCACACTGATCACTGAACAAAGGTGCTCTATTATATTTATTTATTTATTAAAACATTTTTATGCCGCCCCATTCGCCGAAGCCTCGGGGCAGCTTACAACAATAAATTAAAATAACATTTTAAAATATATACATTAAATAAAATACAAATATATGATATAAAACATACAATATAAAACAAGCCGCCCTGGCCAGATAAAATTCAATAATATTAACATTTAAAATACTGCTTAAATAAAAAGGTCTTCGCCTGGCGCCGATAAACAAATAACGACGGCACCAGGCGGACCTCTCTGGGGAGCGCATTCCATAACTTAGGCGCCACCGCTGAGAAAGCCCTCCTCCGAGTAACTACCCTCCTAACTTCTTCCACGGAGGGCTCCCGGAGAAGGGCCTCTCCCGCCGATCTCAGGGGGCGGCTGGGCATATATGGATGTAAGCGCTCCTTCAGGTAACCAGGACCCAAGCCGTTTAGGGCTTTATATCCATGTTCCATAACCCACTCCATCAATTTACAGTTGCAGTCTTTTATGTGTTTGGAAGTAAGCTCAACTGAGATCCACATTTATGTATTATATTTATTTCCCACCTTTTTTCCTTCCAAGGAACACAAGGTGGCTTACATAATTCTCCTGTCCTCTCAGTCTTATCCTCACACCAGCTGTCCTGTTGAGGTAGGTCAAGCTGAGACTCAGAGTGACCCAGTGAGCTCCATGGCTGAGTGGGGACTAAAACCCAGATCCGCCCCCCCCATTCTTAGCTGCTCCACCAGCCTGCACCCAATGGATATAATAGAACACAGTCATAATCTAGTTCATTGCACAGCATAAAGGAAAGAATAAGTTGGTATCTCTGAACATAGGAATATGTAGTGCAATAGTCTGTCCCAAGAAATTGCCCCTCCCCCTGCAAAATGAACACCTAATTAGATCAATCCAGTGCTGGAGTGGCTTGGCTGAGCCTTTTAAAAACAGGCTCATATCCTCAGAGCCAAGTATGTGAAAAAAGCAGAGAAATGTACTGAAATTCCAGTTGTGGGAAAAGATCTTATTGATGCCTGTGGCGGAATAACAACCCGCTTTGCCAATGTCATAAAGAAAGCTGAAGAAGTGGCAAGTCAACTGCTGAAAGGCCATGAATCATTATGCAAAACCATGAAAGGTCTCAGAAATTTGACAAATAGCACAAAGAAAGTAATGATCCCATAAGTCAGTAAGAAGAGGAAGGTGAAGAAGAAAAAGCACCAAGTGAAAATGTAATGAAAATAATGTTCCTTCAACTATAATCAGGTACTTTCTGTGTGGGAGGACACTGTTTGAAGATAGACAGGTGTTGAAACTCTGCTCTGAAAGGATTTTTCTGGCTTGAGAGCAGAGTAAAACTGCTATAAATATAAAAACTGCTGCAATTTTTGATGGTTTTACTCTTGAATACATCCTTGGAGCTAGAGAACATACTTGAGGGTCCTTAGTGGATATTTGGTGGAATATCCAAATGCCTTTTGGATTTTGATTGGCACAGATTGTTTGAATTGCTGACATTTCCACTGCCACTAATGGGAGTACTTTTTTGCCCATGGGGTTTATACCTACTGTGAACATGGAGGGTGCTGACACCTCTTCCATGCAGGAGTACAATCACATGTCATGCTTAACTCTATGACCATAGTCTTGCCTTGAGCTGACTGGAGCAGGAAAGGGTGGCTAGCACTGACCAAGTGGGAAACAAGTGAGAAGGAAAGCCAATACAGAAAGTACTAAAGGTGGCAATCACATTAACAGTGGTCATTTACAGTGATCCTCTACATTGTACATAAGAAGCATCCTCTCATTAGATGAGCCAATTAGCACGTGTACTGTGGGAATTATCCATAATCCTGATACAAGCCCCAGCAATGGATTTAAAACCTGTGATAAATTCTGTTTCAGGAGTCTCTTATTCTCATCTCAGTTTGTTGTTGCTTTGGTGCACAATGGCAACTTCAAGTTTTGGGACAACAGTTCTCTGAACTGTTCTCTTCCTGTTGCCATTTCTTGTGTTAGATTTGCGTTCATTTATTCTTCTCTGTAGAGACTGGGCAGTGTACCCAGTGCAGAATGCAAAAAGGCTTTGCTGACAGAAGATGACACACATTACACTGGAAGATGAGCAAGTGAATCGGTTCCTAACATTGTGTGTGGCATTATTAGGTCCTATAATCATGTTTTCAAAAACAGTGTGGGAACAGAGTAGACATCTGGGTTTGTTGCACAGTCTGGTCCATGTGCTTATATTCCCATAGCTGTTTTAGGTTGGAGTTGAGGACTGTTTGTAAGAACATGCAGAGCTACCACCTCATAGGGTCTGTGAGAGTGAAATATAATTCTTCAGAATGGGCAATGGGTTGCTAAAATGCTTTATTAATTTTAGTTGGGAATTGTAAGTGACAATGTGTGGGGTTTGCTTGTTTACACCTCTAGATCTGGCCTGTAGTAGATTGTTTCTGGGTACCTGTTTGGCCTTGCCTATCTGTTCACTTTGCTGGGTGGATATTGTACTCTGAGGGATGCAATTTTTGCTTCCTTACTTCTATGAAAAGCATTTGTTATCCTGAAATGCACTTTCTTTTAAGCAAGGCATGATGTGCCATCACAATGATCTGTACTGAAAAGAAAAAAGTTTGCCTCACTTTTGGACTTGAGTGCTTTATTTCATTTTTGTTGCTAGTTGATGCATCTTGCAGCAGAGCTGCTTTTATTAGCCTACACCTTACCTGATTTGTTGCTGCCAGTGAAAATTGTATCTGGTTCTTTTCTACTGTTGCCTTCACTTTTTGTTGTCCGCCTTCACTGCTAGCTAGCAAACACATATGCATGCCCACTCTTTATAGTATGGCGATTAAAGGCTTTAACTTAAGGACCTTTGGCATGGTTGTCGGGCCATATTTCAAAGCTGAGCTCCTTGTCCTGAGTGCTGAATGTATGTATTTCCAGGCTCTCCCCTCCATATACCAGTTGATGATGGATCCGATGAACCAGGTTCTGAGGCTTCTGATGCTAAGAGTACCCCAACTGTGGAAGGTGGGAGCTCTTTGTCTCATTACTTTGAAATTTATAGCACCCAGCACTTAAAGCTTCTAAAGTCTTTAGAAGTGCGCCAGAATGGTTTTTCCCCTAGCAAGAAAAGGTTTTCTTATATCTCTGCTTCTTGTTTTAAATGATCTGCGATCAGATTTGACAGTTGGTGTAACAAGTGTCGCCTCAGATGGGAATAACTAACCTGTTGCCTTCTTGTGCACGCTAATCCAGCGTATCTGTGATTGGCCAAATGATGCATCCCCTCTTCAAGCTCTTTCATAGTATGTTAAATATTCACATTGAGAAACTATTCTTAAGGCAGTATAGAGGCTAATATAGAGTCTGGCTTCAGAAAAGCAATAAACAAATTTTTCTTCATTTCTGGGAGTCTTCCCTGTACTCTGAAGAAAAGCAAGGTAGTGGTCACTTTCTCTTAGGGTTCAGTCTACACTCCTAGCGCATTGTACGTCATTGCCAAATCAAAGTTGATTTCATGCACCACAGCCCTACAACATATACTCAGTAAGCATCTGGTAATCGCTTTAGGCTTGTTGCACACAGCCATGCAAATAAGTTTAATTAGTTTGCTAACTTGCACACTTAAAAATGATGTGTTATTTGTGAAACAAATTTTTAAACATTTTCCTACTCATTCTTCTAGAAGTGATTCTTATATACCACAGGTGGAAAAGTGATGGCTGTTTATAATAATGCGATTCAGACTATACCATTTTGAAGTGAGCTACATTTCTATGCCATAATGTGCAATCCTGAGTTTTATTCTGTAGCCATCTGTGTGTGTCATATTGTGTGTGCAGTGTGTTTTGTTCACTCATCAAAATTGGTACATAAAAAGTGTATGCTGCAGTGATGAGATTGTTCTCTCAATAACTCTTGCTGCTAGTTTAAATTTAGTGCATTTTCAGCATGTGATTTTCAATACCAGTGTATTGGGAATGCACAACTGCATGCTTGTTCAAGAAAAATACCTCAAGGACAGTTCTAGTCCAATATTTATTTATTTTATTTAAGTATTTCTATGCCGCCTGTTTTGCTAACAGCTTCCCTAGGCGGCTCACAATATTAAAAGAATTAACCATAAAACTTTGAAACACTAACAAACCAATACAACTAAATTATTACAAATTTAAAATTCCAATCAAATTAATTTACTTAGGTTATAGTAGCATCCATGGGAGGGATTAAATATTAAAATGCCGTTTAAAAAGATAAGTATTTGCCTGATGCCAAAAGGAATACAAGGATGGGGCGAAGCGAATCTCTTTCAGGAGTGCATTCCAAATATGGGGAGCAGAGAAGGCCCTCTTTCTGTTAGCCTCCCTTCTTGTTTCCCTGAGGGATGGCTCCTGCAGAAGGGCCTTCTGTGATGATCTCAAAGGCTGGGTAGGTATATATGGGTGCAGGCAGTCGTTCAGATAACTGGGTTGGTGGCAAATTAGCAAATGCCACTCATGCATTTTCAAAGGTAGCTCAACTCCTTATTCTGATTTGGGAGCAGGTAATGTATAGGTGGCAGCCAAACCAAAAGCAACCCCCCCCCCCGAATAACCTTTGTAAACAATGCAAGACAAAATCATGACAACATGACTCAAGGTAAGCTTTAGTTGTGTTCTTGCACTTATTATATTTAAGGTTACGTTTCAAGAATACAGGAATGAAAGTTGGTGATGCTTTTTGCTTTCAAGCCTTTAAGAATTATTTTTCTATCTCTGCAAGTGTTCTGAAGTGGTCAAATGTTTAAAACATTCTTAGTTGTATAAGACCCTATCTCATTAAAGTCTACTTTTGATCAAAATTGTTATATGTGAAAATGTGGAGAATGGAATCTTCTAAAACTGACATCTTGAAGAATCACTGAATCCATAAGGTAAGCAGTTCTCTAAACATTATTATGCAGACAACCAATACAAAAAACTTCGGCAATAAAAAACTAAAAGGGTGAACATTATACAAAATAGAATCAAATTCATTTATAGAACAATCATGTCCTTAGAGCTACATCAGATGAAATATTATGTTGAATACCAGGATTTTCAGGTTCCTGGCATCAGTAATGTTGGGGAAATATACAAAAAGACCTCCTTTTTGTATAAAAAAGGTATACTCTAAAAATCTTTAACAGACGAAGAGCAATAGATATGTGTGCCAGTCTGTGTCTAAATGACTTCTCTCAGAAATGGATGGGAGATAAAAAGTCAGAGACAACAGTATCTTCTTGTACTGCGATTGTTCATCTGATCGACTACCTTGTCTGTGTTCTGTCTCTTGTCTTATTGTGACTGGAGTGAGGCGGGGGAGGGGCTGCTCTGTGAGTTATCCTTGAGAAGTCGCAACCTTCTATAGCAAGATAGTCATCAATTCTCTTAAACTAACCTATGTCCGAAGCATTTTTATTTTCAGGATTCTTAAGTGAAACGTCCTTCATTTTGCCTTTGGGTTTCAGATGCATCTGCTCCGTTAGTGGAGGAGAGAGCACATGACGATCGGACTGCAGCACGGCAGCATGTGGAGATACCTGAAGGAACTACTGGTAAGACTTCCTGTGAAGGAAATGGTGCCCATCCCCATAAATAAATAAATAAATAAATAGGCCATTTTAACATAACATTTTTAAATGTATAATAAATAAAGATCTGCGTGCTATTACAAGCACATAAAGTGCAGCTTTTAACTGCACATGAGAGGAATTCTTTTGCCAGTTCTCATGGGAAACTCAGTATTTATAGATGTGTGCACCATTCAAAACTAACACAAGAATTATATGTTCCTTATGTGCATATATTTCTCATACTGGCATTCCTCTCTTTTAGAAATCTTGGAGTCCTCTTATGATTCACTTCCAAAAGCCTCATGTCTTATGTCTTCCAGTGGCCTGATGTCCAGGCAGTGATCAAGTGCATACCTGCTTAATTTTGAAACTGGTCCATCAGGGGCTCCCATACCATTTACTGGCCCAAACCTTTTGTTACGTGTTCCCTGCTTCTCTGAGTTATAAGAAATGTATTTTGCACTGCCAGGTTGTGTTTCCTAGAATGAAAGAACACAGGAATCTTATGTTGTGTCTTTAATATCTGTTCTTCATGGCTTCTGTTCATATGCAGAGAGCAGCATCTCAGAATATTCTAGTGTCTTATCAAGTGGGAGCTAGCATTTGCCCTTTCCCATTGAATTGGTGGATCTATGCGTTGAGGGAGAGAGAAATTCCTTCCTGTCCAGTTTTGTTTCAACTGCTTTTTAAACAGGATAACTTTTTCCTGCTTCTGAGGTTTTTAGGCACTCTTTCTCACTTTTCTCTCAAAATTAATTCAATTAATACTTAAGGTAGCCTGTTGGTAAATCATTGTTCATTTCTCTAACTATTCAACAGTTGTCAAGTTTTCTCCTCGTAGAGGAGTTTTTTTCTCTTCACAGATGAAGATGTTTGTCCTTGGCAGCCCAGCTCCCTCAAATAGTGCTGTGCTTAGGGAAGGTTACTATCACCAAGAAGCAAAAAAAATCACAGTCCATTTGTGCTTACTAGGCCAGAATGCAGGAGCAGAGCCTATGAGTGCCTTCCTCTGGCAGTACACTTTACAGGCATCTACGTAACCGCGTTCTAAACTTGCTTATGAGCCTACTTTAAGTTTAGCTCTTCCTTTTCTGACTTGGTTTCTGAATTATCTTTTGTTTCAGATACTGGAACTGTCTTGTACTCTTAGCAGTGGTTGAGTTTATGGTAGCATCTACTTGGGTAGCTGCTTCGCATAGATTTTAGTTACATTTCAAGTTAAAACTTGAACCACAATGGCTAGTTTTAGTCTGCTAAGTGTGGAGTGTGTGGAAGGTGGAATTCCCAATAGTACAGTAATATTTTTTTTGTACTGTACCATGAGAAACCGTATCAATGCAGGGAATTCTGTTACTACTACTTCCAGATGTACAAGGAATATCCAACTGCCACAGTATAATCTATACGTGCAGGCCCACATGACTTTGGGTAACCATAGTACACGACGCCTGCATCAAACACATCACTGTGCTAACATTTCTTTTCTCATCCATTAACTATGTGAGCTGAAATGGCAACAGCAAAAACACTTTTGGTGCTACTTCCTTCAACTGCTTTGTATTTTTGAAGTATCAAGAGTTGGGTGACTTTCTATTATTCATCACTTTTCAGTTGTAATCTTATTTTTAGCAACATTGATCTCATTTCTGACCACTATAAGTTCATTATTGTTATCTGCATTAATTCCAGAACTTACCATTTCATTTGTACCAATCCCATTTTCTATTTCCATTGACTCCTTATTATTTTGCGCTAGGTAAAGTATTCACTGTCTCACTGGTACTGATACCCACTCTGTAGGGATTTCTTTCCAGTTACTTTTGCTATGCATGTTTCTGGTTCAATACCAGTTTCCACTGTTGTGGTGCCTTTGGTACCATAGTTGATCCAGATGACATCTGCTTCTTGAATTGTCACACTTCAGGCTTTACATTCTACTATTATTCCAGCTATCAGTACTGAAGACCTATACATTTGACCAATTTTCTTCACAGTATCCATCAGGTTCCTAATTGCATTTGAGTGGTTTGGATTTGGATTACTCACATTATGTTTTTGACTGTCTCTGGATCATTTGGGATCCCAAAATGGGCTTGCCATCCGAATATCCTGTCATCTCTTTCAATATGATGCTTCAACAATCTCTTCACTTACTCAGTACTGGATAACTTTTTGTCTAGTCTGACCACCCCACCTCAAAAGCCTTCCTTGTTTGGTCAGTCTTGGCATGTGGCCCAAGAGCCCTGGGCAAAACTGTCATTGATATATCTGGTTTCAGGGTGCTTGGAAAAATGTACTGTGTATAATGGGAAAGTTTGAAGTGTCTGTTAAGATGTGCAGACTCTTACTCCCTCATGGTTGAACATGCCTGTGTGAAAATGGAAAAGAAACAATACTCCAGCCCTATGGATCCAGTGAGCAAGGAGCTAGATGTTCTTGGCAGGAAGTGTTATCCCAGTATATCCCTTCAGGTTCAGATCATGAATTATTTGACTCATGAGCCAGTATCAGCATTACCCTAGGGAAGAATTTCAGCCTTTCTAGGCTGCCTTAGAGAGGACATTGTACATCTTTGGCCAAGTCTTTCAAGCTAAGGCCTCTTGGTTGATACATGAGCAATTCAGAATTTCATTTTGTCACTTCATTGTCCCATTTCACGATGGAGGGATCTTTATGCTACTTATTAGAAGACATTGTGCAGCATTTCTGCACTTTAATGGATTATCTGGAGTGCAGGGGACAGAAAGATCTCAGGAAAAACATGGATATGAGAGGAAAATGATGTCTAGATGCTTCCCATTATATTACATAAATGAGGCAGGGCAAAGTAGTTAGAAAAAAGTCATCCAGAATCTGTGTCAGTCAAAATCACACCACATTGTAGAGATATACAGGGTGTCCCAAAAAAATTGACATCATTCGTAGTCTAATAACATAGCCAATGATGTCAATTTGGGACACCCTATGCATTGTCATGAATCATGATCCACAGTGCTTAAGCCTGCTGCTGTATTGAAAATTGAGACTCTTCCTTTTGGCAGAGTAATATTGTTTTATATTCAGACTGAATACAAAAAATGCACACTCCTCGAATTCATCTATGGTACCATGCATCTTGATACCAGCTTCAGAACTGTTTTCCATTCTATATGCTTTCTTTGTTCCATTAGTTGTATGTTTCTGTGAATACTTTTTCCTCTCTACCAAAATCTGAACCATTTCCCATCAACTAATCATTCTTCAAGATATCTAAATGGAGTTTTGCACTCCTGCCTTCATTCAATGATCATGACATCCACTTCATTCTCACCTCTGCTAGATCTTGTTCTGGGCCTTGCTGGATTTTTCTTCGGGTAATATTGCTGAAGTTCACGGAGTTCTAACCATTTTGGTTAGGGTATGCCATAGCAGGACTAGCTTAAGGCATTTTGTCGTCTGAGGCAAAACTGCCAGTAGCAGTCTCTCCATACCTCCAACCTGACTGTGCTCTGGCTTTAGCAAAACATTTCATTTTAGGTCGGTAGGTGGAACAACCATAATCCACTCTTACAAAATGGGTTGTTTCTTTTTCTCACAGGTCTGAATACACAGACCACCCAAAGTGGGAAGAGCTGAGGTGGAATCTGACAAACATTTGCCATAAACTACAGTATTTCCTAAATGTTTACACACATTTTGCCTTCACTTACCTTATTTTTGCTGCATTTACCTATGAGTAGTTACTTCTCCAGGCTAATCGTATCCGTGCTGTCCCTCAAAAACAATTCCTATTGACCACAGTGAGACTTGCTTTCTAGTATGTGGTAGTATTGTAACATACTTCAGAAGTCATGTCTCAATAGTGACACAATCACAAAGCAAGAATTAGTAAATTTAAAGCATGAAGATGTACTCCACACAACACAGTTAATGAATACATGGACAGGACTCAAAATCTACACAAGGATCCCTCTGTGTCCCAAAGTTTTCCAAGTCTGAGATCAAGTGATTCCATGGAAGATATTAGAGGATAGCGTAGAATTCAAATTGCAGAATGTAGACATATTTAGGTTTTGTACATTTGTAGGCATTAGTACAAACATAACACCAACCGAAGCTAGCTCCTCAGATAAATACGTTGCATTTTCAAACACTGGGCAAAGCATCAAACTAGGAAGAAAAGCAGCAGCAGCTGAAAACTAGAAGTAGTTGATTTGTGCATACAAGGAGATCTAAAGCTTTTTACCTCAGAGCCTTCAGAAAACTAAAAAAATATTGAGGCCCACCAGTCACAGAATGGTGACAGATAGAGGTAGAGTTTTATTTATCGATACGTTATTTTTATATACTGTCCCGTTTCCATAGGCTCTGGGTAATTTACAGAGATTAAAACCAACAATAATTCTAATTTAGACTAAAAACACACAACAGTTATTGAGCTAAGTGGTAAATTAAAAAAACTACAGTACAAGTACATCATATATTAAAATACAGAACAATACAGACCAACAAACAGCATAGGAATTGATAAAATAGCCATTAAAATCTGAATCTAGGTCTTTAAAATACCTGGGATAAAGTAAATGTCTTTGACTGCCAACAAAAAACAAACAAACAAACTTATACACTGAATAAACCTCTCTGGGGAGTTCATTCTGTAAGTGGGATGCTACAGTTGAGAATGTCCCATCTTGTAGCCACCCATGTAGCTTCCTTCAGCTGGGATGCCTGGAGGAATGTTCTGTATATAAAGATAAGGTTCATGCAGTTCCATTTTAAGAGCCAGTCCCTGGTGGAAGGGGAAGGACAACTCCTACAATCTAATTAATTGGTTGATTGTAGAGGGCACAAGAGAAAAGGCAGAAAGAGGGAAGGAACTAACTTAAGTGGATAGGCACTCACCTACTTCTGGAGAATGGCCTGTTGTGGGAGCCCTGCCCACTCAAGGGGATGGGACAAATCCCAGTTTCCACACTCCAGAGTTCTAGAAGTTTCTGAGATACTGGTTTGTGCAGGTGCAGAATCCATATATATGACTGCACTGAAGACCACACTAATGTTAATTACAGGTATGTAATCTACTTTCTTTTTAGAAATTAGGAAGCAGGGCATCTTGGAAGCAATAGTCCCTTACACTAGGCAGGAAGATCCTGCAGGTTATCAAAGAAAATAACTGCATGGATCACCTCAGCCTGCCCCCCGCCACACACACACCCTCTGTCAAAGCTGAATCCATTCCAGTTAAACTCATTTTCTGTAGATTCATGCAGATAAGATTCATGCTGTAGCTTAGTATAATTTGTTCCTCTGCCCTTCCCACTACTCCTCATAGGTGCTACATTTCAAAGGCCATTAAAAAGAAAAAAAAAACATGCTCAATCTCTAGAAAGTATTTCATGTATGTTTGTCAGATTCCTGACCCACTTCTAAAGTTCTATTAACTAGCCTATTAACAGCAATCAAGGGTACTTCCAGATTAGGCTTTTTGGTAGGCAGTTACATCTTGCCTCATTTACATTTTACGTCCTCTTCCATTTGTAACCCTTCTGTAATTTTTTTCTGCTTGTTCATTAGGAGCTATCTGCCTGGAAGTACCCCAAGACAGTTCAAATTCATAACAATATTGTAAGAAAAAGCCTCAAGCGAGAGTCCTCAAGACAAGAATCAGATCATTGAATTTGTCAAATGAAGCTTATTTAAAAAAAACCCCACAAGTATCATTTGGCAGACAGGCCTTAATAGTGCCCTATGGAGTGAAGAGGGATATGTGGACTTTAAGGCTCCAAAAAGACATTTCAAGGAATGAGAAAGGGGAAAAAAATCTTACCAATTTTTTCCAATGGGCAGGTTCACACGACTTAATTCTCCTGGACGTTTTACCTTGTGCGCTGTAGGTAAAATTCTGCTGTGCCTGACAGATGTGTGTGTGTGTGTGTGGAGGGGGTTATGTCCCCACTCCACACCCTTTGATTCTCCTACAGTGTCTCAGAGAGCACTGCAGGAACGCTGAGCACTGTGGGGAGCAGGATGCCAGGGGCCCAAAGTTGTCACTTTCAGCCTCTGTCATCCATGTCTCTGACATGCTCTTCTGCCAGAAGGGTGGAATTGTTCACAAGGATGTGAGGGTAAGGGCTGCCTTGTGCTGGGCTCAGAAGCTGAGTACAAGGCAGGTATCACTACAAAGAAGGGAAAAGACACAAGTCAGATTTGGCTGGGAGCTCATGCCTGGCTGAGCGCACCAACTTGGCCTGTAGCCTGTCACCCTTGGCTGGTGCTGTGCTTCTGGAGAGAGGGCAAGCTGTTGTTCACTGTGTGCTCCTTTCCATCCCATGACTGGGGCTTGGAAAGGTGGTGCAGGGCAGGTATCAGTGGTAACCCTGCATGCTGCACATGCCTGCCCCTTCAAAGGGAGGAGGCACATTTGGGGGGGGGGGGAGGCAATGCGAAAGGGTGCCTACTGCCCTGTATTTATTTATTTAGTTGGACAACTTGTATGCCGCCCCATTCGCATAAGCCTCGGGGTGTTCCCCTTTCCCCATCAGTGTGAGGGTGCCAAACCACTCTGCTCGCTTACATCTTGAGGGAGGGAAAGAGCGTGGCTTGCTCCCTTCTGCTGCTGTTGCTGCAATGGCTGTGGTGGTAGGTGGATTCAGCCACTTGGTCTTGCTTCTGCACAGAAATGCAAGATGGAGTGGCTAGTTCTGATATGCACCTCTTCCCTGGGCATGCTGGAGAAACTAGAAACTTCCACTGTGTTTCTGCTCATGCTGGAAGGAGAGTTGGATTGCAATCCCATTCTTCCCCTGGAATCAGCAGGAGAACGGGAAACTGGTGTGAGCTGAGCAGATTGCTACTTGGGCCTTTTGCCAGCTGTCATCATCTAGCCCACCTTGTACCAGAGTAGTAGTGCTTTTTTAGCAATGTTGGCCAGGATATTCTTTCAGTTTTTGGCTTGAGTATGCTTTAGAATGTCATAGAGCTTTAAATGATACATTAAGCTATGGTGGGTTTACTAAACCCAAAAACAAGTCATGGGTAACTAGGGTATTTTATAAGTTTCCCTGCAGAACAGTGCAGGGTTCAGTTATCCACTGGGGCATATAAATCATAGTAGGTTATTACGTTGTACAACCCTAGTCTGTATTTTTATCTAAATAGTTCTATACTGCCCCATTTCCATAAGTTCTAGGAATGTATACCTTCAGTTGACCCAACTTCACTGGAGCAGAGTTGTGCTACACTATTTCTTCTCTGGTTTTAAGACATGGATAAAAAGTGGGATTAAAGGAAGTCAATCTGTTGGAAGCTCACATCTCCGTAACAGCAGTTGTGTTAGGTGTGTCTAAGCCCACTAATTTTATAGGGCTTAGATATGCCTAAGTCTAAAAACTGTCTAGCTGTTGTCAGTATAATTTTGCATTCTACAGAGAAATATCCATTCATTATTGAGAAACTTGGAAATACAGTCATTGAATCTGGCAGTCAGATTTCTTTCTTTTAAAAAAGGCTGATTTTGTCAGTTTCACTATACTTCTTTTACAGTATCTGACATATTTCACTGCTGAATATGAATGCTGATACTTCTCTTTAGTGAGGATATTCCTCACAACTTAATCTCATTTTCATTTAAATGTACTGCCATATGTACAATATATTTATTTATACAGCACTTTGAAAATGGGTAAAACTAGTAGGAAGGTTAGAGGCATTTGCAGTATACCAATTTTAATGCTGAAACCATTTTCCTATCCTTAATTTGGAAAATGTAGCTGAGGAAGCAGGCATAGTCTCTACTCTTAACCATGAGGACCATGCTGCAGGAGATGCTCAAGGTAAGTGCAGTAGTAGTCTGCAGAACTTAAAATGGTGAGCTTTACTGGTGTGCAGTGGGAGCTACCATCGGATAAGAGTACTGCTATCTGAAGCAGCCAATTTATACTTTTTCTGTTGAATCCACTGTAGCAAGTGTCTCCAAAGAGGCATCCACAGAGACCTCCAAGGGCACTCACAAAGCTCTCTCAGCTCTCTGCCTCCTTCAAAACTTTTCCACCCCTTTGCCTTCCTGTTTCCCTATCTCCTCCAGCCTCTAGCATTGCTATTCCTGCCCCTGCCTTTTTTTTTTTTTTGCTGTTCCTTTATTCCTTTGTCTTGCTATTTCTCTCTCCCTCCCAACCTCTAGACTAACTGTTTTCCCCCCACTTCTTTGTCCTACTATTTCTTCCCCCTCCCAAGCTGACCATTAAGTGGAGGAGAAATAGGACAATTTTCCCCTTCATTTGCTTTCCAACCATGAAATGTGTGTATATTTCATATTTACTTTCTGTCTAGCCATGAAATCTGCATATGCTTCCCTATTTTTGAAAAGTGCTAAATTTCCCAGTGATTGCTCACCCCCACCCCTTTTAAACAAATCATTTAGAGAAGGGAACAAATGAGATACCTCTATTCACTCCATTCATCTCAGGATTTTTGACAGCTGGTGGGGACCAAAGAAACAGCTGTGAGAAAGAGCTATGACAAAGGGGTGAATTTCCCCTTTCTGAGTTAGATGGAGATTCAGGAAAGTGTCCAAAAGGTGGAAAGTAAATGCAACATTCAAAATTGAGAGGATTGCATTGCTAAGGGGGAGTTCTTAAGCCTTCTTTTGATGAGGCTTTGAGCTGCTTTCCCCCTTTTTGCAGGTACCTTCCAAATGACCACTAGGAAATTGTCAGCTGTTTGCAACTTAGCCTATATGCAGTCTCATTTCATCAATGTGTTACTCTTTGATAGCTGGAGCTGACAAGGACATTGATCAGGCAACACTATCAGAAAGCCAAAAGAGTTCAGTTGCACAACAATAAAAGACTGATAAAAATAAGTAGGGAGATACTTAGACACAGTTCTGGAGGTGAAATGAAAGGTGATGAATCACTTATAGTCACTGCAAAGCGACACTTCAGCATTGGTAGAGGGGCAGTCCCTGAGTGTCACTACTCCATTTATGCTTTTTAAAAGCTCTCTCCTCCCCATGAAATAGCAAACAAAAAAGGAGTCATGATTGAAACAGGCATAGAAAAGACAAGACAGGTTGTACCACAAGGACATTGGAATATTGGCTGGAGGACCAATGAGGAAGGAGGGGGATAACTTCCCATGGTGATCCCATTCTTGTGTTATGCACAACTTGGGTTATTCCATGAACAATAGTTTGTTTGCAGGATAGGTTGCCATGTCGTGCAGAAATAGTCCATGTTAACCTGTGATTAACTGAACAAAGACGCAAAAGCTTCAGTTTTATTGTATCTGTGCTGGAGGAGAGAGGGGGACAACATGAGCCTGAACTCATACTCACAACGTAAAAGTGGTTGTTTATTCCTACATCAAAACCATTGTGTCCACACCTTTAGTACTGTTTACAGTTTTGGTCACCCATCTCAAAAAGGATATTGGAGAACTAAGAAAAAGTATGGGGAGATGGATGGAAGGTGATAATGCTGAATCGCAATCAGTTTAGGCCCTGAACCTGTGAATCTTTTTTTTTTTTTTTGAAGGGCATGTCATTTATCCAGCAAAGTAGATACTGTTCAATAAGAGATAATGATAAAGTGGTCAATAAATGGTGTGAAAATCAGAGTGTGCAGGTCATTAGCCTGTAGACCTAACTTATTTGTTTGCTGTAGACTCGTCTGTTTAACTCTAACATAGGAATAAAGATACCCTCTTACATAAGATTGTTGTGACAACAGTTTTCATGGATATAGCCATCATTAATCTCAACTGCTCTAAAATGTTTGATGTGTCATCTTGTAAGATATATCATTGGGTTTATGTTTTAGAATTTTACCTCACATATGAGAAGTGTAGCTTTTTAATTCAGGCAGATCAGGTAGGTCTGAGGGAAATTTGTTTTTAGACCAGAGCATGGCTAGCTAAAGTAAATGGCACAGTGGCAGTCAGTTTTGTTTTTTAAATAATTCACTTTCCAATGTTTAATCTGTAGGCATTTCAAAGTGGTTCTGTATTGGTATATGCATACTCACTTCTTGTCATGCTTAATGTTCTTCTCAAATCGTAATAGAATTGAATTCTCTATTACTGTTGGGGAAAGTGGAACTGAAAATTCAGGAGAATGTTGCAAATGGGGTTGGAATTAAGCCACAGATAAATCAAAATTAATCAGTTTACCTTGGAGTCTGTAAAACCATTTAATGCAGATTGGAGTTGACATCACACATCTTGGAGTTTCTCCCTGTTGTAGAAATTCATAGACTGGAGATAGAAAACCAGTACTTGCGTAAGTATGAAAGAGACTCTGTATGGACAGATAAAGCCAAAAGTACTAATTCTGTGCTACAGTTTTATATAGACACCCTCTCAGAGACACCAGAAGGGCACCTAGGGAGAGAGAACAGGAGGAGGTTGTCATCTGAATTCATTATGAGTTGTAGGACCAGGATTGCAAAATAGTAATTAGCATATATGCAACATCAGTTTCTAAAAGTTTGTTCAGGATTTGAACCAGTAATTGAAATATGTAAAGAAGAGGGGTGGTGGTTCTGTGAGAGATTCCCTGCTTAGTTCAATAATTAGCCTGTGGGGATTGCTCACAAGGCATATTTTTCAACAGCTGATGGCTGCCTTTACTTGAGAGGTGTTTTGAAAGAAGATGACTTTGGGCAGGGAAACAAGGAAGACAGGGAAACTGATGAAACACCTCAGCTGGACATTCTGAGTGAGAAAAATCTGTTATTAGAAGAAAGGTGTACCATGGTTGCAGAATTGGACCCCTTTGAGCATTTTTACCAAGTTGAAGCTAACGTCCCAAAGGAAAGTGTAACTTTGGAATATTTGCTAGATGTAGGCAAACTTTCAGAGGATAACATTTCCCTGGAAGGGGAGACAGCGGATACTGTGCAGATCTCAGAAGTGCAAAAGGCTCCAAGAATGAAAGCTGTCAATTGTACATCAGAGAAGCAGAGCAGTCGATTGCCAGTCCTGAAAGGTGTGTGCATGTATGTGTGCTTAAAAATAGCAAAAATGCTAAAACCACTAGTACTTTTTGCACATATCGTGAATCCTGCTGCTTTGACATTAATCTGATGAACTGAAAATAAAATGGCTGGTGTGGCACTGCTTTAGTTCCCTTACTTTTATCCAGATGTTTGGAGTGCAAGCCATTCCATAGGATTATCTTATCTTGCATGGATGATGTTGGTCCCTTTCACTAATTCCTGTTCCATTTATTTTTCTTCATGTACGATACAATGTAGACAATTAATAGAGCCAGCAAGATGAAATCTATTTAGAGAAAGAGACAATTGTTCCTGGCCTTCACTTGAACTTGTTTTTATGAGTTGTGCCTCATTACCCATGCAAGTCTCTGACTCTCATCCTGCATTGCTATTCTAGCTTATTTGGTGGCTGTTGACACTATGGCATGTGTCAAACTAAGAATATTTTGCTTATGTTGGTTTTGGCTTAAATTTCTGCTGCACATATGTAACACATACAATGGTTATAATTTCCAATCTTCTCTTTTTCTTTTGTTATCATCACATCGCACAAACATGGTACAAGAAACTTAAAGGTATATTTCTACGCCTTTCTCCAAGGAGAAAGGGGAATTTGCTGTGCTATTTTTTTCCTCACTTGTATCCAGGAGAAACAGTGAAGGTTGATATGGCAGCCAAATGTAACAGCCACTGTGGCTTCACATTCTTAGTAGCAGGTCCTTAGCAGTGCCTCCCCCTGCCCAACATTAATAAAGTGAGGTACTTTATGAGCAGCATTGCATTTGCTTCACAAATTTTTTCTCACAGTATGGAACCCTTTTCAGGTACCTGAAGCTCTCTTATTGCTTTCAAGACTATGGTAGACGATACATGCCTTATTTTAGAACATTATGGCTATTCTTCATGGCTTCATATTTGGGGATTTTAAAGAATCAACATGTTTCCTAAGTAATATGATAGAAATCATTTTGGAAACTCTGAGGTTATTCCTCCCTCTGCTTGAAAACACTTGGTGCTTTTTCTGAACCTTGTAGATCAGGCAAGCAGATAGAAACATCCTGCCTTTTTTGTTTCCTTTTATTTGCCTTCTTCTCCCTCCCCCCACCGAATTAGTAATAGGATAGTTTCGAGTACTGAAATCCCTTTGCAGAGTATATCTTAGCTGTGGTCCTAGTCAATGCTGCCAATCATAAATAGCTCACAGACGCAGTTAAGGTTCCATGTGTAGTATAGTAGTTAAGTGTGCAGAACTGGGCTTCAGGAGATCTGGGTTCTAGTCCCCACTCAGCTATGGAGCTAACTGGGTGACTTTGGGCCAGTCACTGACTCTCAGCCCAACTACCTCAAAGGGTTGTTGCGATAAGATTGTGAGGAGGAAGGGCCAGCATGAGTTCCTTGAAAGGATAAAGGTAGAATATAAAGAAATATCTTTGGAAGAAAGATCTCATTAGATATGCTCATTGTGCACCCTCGAGAAAGTCCACCTGTTAAATCCTGTCAAAGTGTCCAAATTTTACAGTGTGTTTGTAATCCAGAACATTTCATATAGTCATATAGGAGAAAGTCGTGGCTACATCCACTGATAATATGCATAACTGTCTTTTGCTTCATTAAAAAGTTAAGGCAGATTTTAACTTCATTAGACTCTGCTTTGACAACGCCTTGGATTATGTTCAGAGAATTTTTTTTTCTGCCATTAGGAGGAGGCAAAAAAAGAAAAGAAATTTCCAGGAAGATCCTGGATCCCATTCAAAGCCCAGAAGGAAGAATTACCCATTCAGAACTGAGCAGTTAATGAATGTGCCAAGAAAATAATAAACTTACCAAATGACAAAGCTCATAACTTGAGTTTCAGTTGGTAGCAAGAAAGGAGATTCTGTCACAAGAAACTTTCAAACTCTGTTTGAACATTCAGAATTGATTTATATGCAGTAGGTTGGAATAAAGAGGTTTACATTATTCCTGAGCCACTGAGGAGAGAAGCTCTTTGAAAAGCTCAGGAAAAGAAAGGGATGCCTGCTGTCTGGACTAGGCACAGGTGACTAATATCAAATGATTCTGTGATAAGTGGAAGCACTGCTTGAGGTGACTATGACCGAGGGAATTCTGCTGCAACAAGTTCATCCCATCAACCATGCATAGTAGCTGAGAAGGATATCATGAGTGGCAGTTGGAGTGCTCAGAGATGAAAATTCTTGAAAAAACTAACAGAATTATGAGTGGTATATACTTTATTAATTGTCCTCAAGGCTCTAAGACAGCCTTTCCCAACCTGGTGGCCTTCAGAGGCATTTGGACCACAACTCTCAGAATTACCCTCCAGCAGGGCCATTGACTGGGAATTCTGGGTGTTGCAGTCCATATGTGTCTGGGAGGCACAAGGCTGGGGAAGGCTGCTATAAGGTATACAGGAAGCCAAGAAAAATAAAGAACATGTTTTCTCCGTGCATGCAGCAGAACAGAACATGTGCAAGAGAGACAAGGGGGGTTGCTTATTTATTTAAAGTTTTTATATTCTGCCTTTCACAGTGTCTCAGGGCAATAGTGGAGGTTTCTTTAGTATGGAAGATTTAGAGTTACTGTGGAAGCTCTGCTGTGGGGTGGAGAGAGGGAACAAAGCTGTTTCCCAGAGATTTGAAGAAAAGTTTAGAAGCTCTGCTGCAGCTGCTTACCTTCTTTCTCTCCTATTTGTCCACCTGGTTTGGAATCATTTTGCTTTGCCCGAATCTGTCTCTGTCCTCAGGCCTGTCCACTGGCTGGCTGCTGGACTCCTACCTTAGTCCCACATACGAGTATGCCTGTTCCCCTGTGTTAATGTTGGATGCTATGCAAGCGGCCTCTGCCGTTTCCTTTCATTTGCACATTTCATTATCTCTTGCTTCCCTCTCCCTTGAGAGCAGTGTGCTTGCACGCCTTTGAGGTTCTCATAACACCTTTCTTGGTGGTCTCATTACCATGGCTTACTCATTTTCCACTGAGACAGCCCCAACCCTTTGTTGCTGCTGTTGCTGATTTGTTTTTATGTTTCCCCTCAGATTCACCATTCTGACTAATTGTCTTTCCTGCTAAAAAGGTTTGCCCCTTTCTCTCAAATCCCTCACACTTAAAAAATCCTAATAATTTTCAATAAAATAAGATTAGTATCTTAGTGTGATATTAGTAGCAGTTAACACCTCCACCCCCTCCCACCACAGTTTAACTCCATTTACTCGCTGTGAAAATGGGATGAAAGGTTTTGCAGTGTTCAAAGTGGGTAAAATGGCACCTCTTGGCACTCTTCCAGCTTGCCAGCTAGCTGACACCATTCTTGCTGAAGGCCCAACGAATCTATGTGATGAAACAATGCCAACCTCAGGCTTTTGGGGAAACAAATTGTGCTTGCTCTGGTGGGGGATGTGCAATGCCCCCCTCCTCATGTAGCCTCAGTGTATCAGTTTTGGTGGGCAAATTCATGACTGCCAGCTGATGAAGGCCGAAAAACCCTCTGGGTGGTATACATTTGTTCTGCCAAAGTGCAGCTCAACCTTCTCTTCTCCCCATTTTTGCAGGGTGGTTTGCTCCTTCCCTCAAAAACATTGATGGTGAACTTTTGGCTTGGTGTTAAGATTTAATCATTGCTTGTAAGCTTTGCATGAACTGTGCTGCTTTTGCTTTGATTTCATTTCATTTCTGGGACTCTAACATCTTGCTCTTGCCACCCTTATATCTGTGGTATCTGTTATCTGGAAATCAATTGAAATTTTGTTTCTGTTGCCTTCCTTAATACTCCTTTCTTCTTGCACATTCTCCTTGACACTAGGCATTTTTGCCAGCATTATAATGCTTGACTCACTTGTGTGTCACAGGATGCCCCAAGCAGCCTTCCTCACACTATTTCAGTTATCATATATCAGATTTCTTTAGGCCAGTTATAGCATGACTGTAATTTTTCCCCACTGAATATATCAGTGGCGCTTCTCTAAGGCCAGCAGGAGTAGCTTCAGTGTGTTGATGGGCTTGGGGAGGAATAAGTGGCCTGCCAGGCTTCAGAAAAAGAAAAACAACCCTCAGAAGGAATGACTGCAGTTGTTTTCCTCCTCCTCTTCTCTCAGTGAACCAGATGCAGCACTGCTTCCACCCGTCCTCTTGCTATTGGAAAAAATAAATTTGGAATGCCCCCTTTGCCTTCTTGCCTCAAACAGTTAGCCAAAAATAAGCCAAAATGCACACCTTCTTGGAAATAAGTCCCATTCCTTTTAATGGCACTGTTGCTTTCAGGAATTGCTTTTGGGTGAATGGGACTGAAGGGCACTGATCCCAGCACTTCACTCATGAGAAGTGAGAAGATGGTGGCAGCACCATAGCTTCCCACACATCTCATTCCACTCTGCATGAACATTTTGTGATGAGGCAGCAGGAACTGTCAATTTTTATTTTTATCTCTATTATCTTTATTTTGTTTTACATTTTTGTTTAGCTTGTACACTCCTTTGTACCTTAGTATAGATGGGGAAAACCCATTGTTAAAGACCCTTGTCTACTGCACACATCACTTTTTGAATTTTTTCTATCTCTCCGACGGATGGGTTTGTGTGTGATACAATAGCACATTTCCATCACTGTGGAACCTGTATTCTATTCATAAGCATGTGCCCTAATGGGGCTAAATGCATTTTGCATGAGTATTGCAACAGTTCTCCCTGATTAATGGAATTAGACTCTAGTGTAGATCCTTCCCTTGTTTCCTTTTTTGAGAATTGACTTTATGGCTACATTTGGATATAACAATAAATTGTGGTTTATCATTATTGGAAGGAGTCCAGCTTGGACATCTGCTTGCATCTCCTCTGGCACATCTGTCAGGAGGTCTTTGCTTTTTTGCACCCAGTTTTGATTAATCAGAATTTATTATTACATGTGGACCATAAACCATGGTCTGAAGCTGGCTTGTATCAAAGCATAGTGAAGTTTATGCAGTTTGTTGGGTTCAGACAATATGTCAAACTGCAGCTAATAAAATATACAAACAAAATTTTCCAGTCTCCTATTGTGATCATGATGGAGGAGGCAAGGGGTCAGGAACATGACAATCCTGTGGCTCATTTCCATCATGGTGTACAGTGATGTCCTGATTGACTTAAAATAGGTAAAGTGTCATTCTTCTGGAGTAGAGCAAGCATGGTTTTGAAATAGCATCATATTTATTTCAAGCTCATCATTGCTCCCCCTCCCCCATTGTGTCTTTTGATTCTTGGGAGAGTACAAACTAACTGGCCCAAAGTAAAATTAAAAATCCTGTAACTGCTTTGTTCCTTTTTCAGGCAATTAAATGCAGACAGACACATCAGTTTTATATTACTTTATTTAGAAATGGTAAGAGGCTACTAAAGCAGTCTGTTCAGTAGTCAAAAGGCTCCCATGGTCTTGCCAATTCCAGACATCATACTGTAAACAGAGCTTCACACACACACACACACACACACACGGGGGGGGGGCTATTACAAGTGGTACCAGTTGGGTGGAAACAAGAAGTTTTTTGTGTTTACTAATACAGCTGGCATTTTTATTTGCTGTTTTCTGTTTCCTTTTGAAATGGTTTGGGTCAAAACATGCTTACCTTTTGCATTAAAGCTTAGTTTGAAAGAAAGAGCAAGTTACATAGTGGAAATTATAGTTCCATAAATTAAGGTTTCTTACTACTGCTTATACAAAAGCAAAACCAAAAACCTTGCATGTTAAAATTAAAATCAAAGGGTGCTTTCAGACAAGGCTTTTATCATGTAATCACCCCACCTCATTTAAGGAAGGTTATGGTGGCAGGGGTGTGTGTGTGTCCAGATATCATTGTCCTCCACTTAGAACTTCTCTGTGTTTTCTTACCACTTTTGTCTTTTTATTTAACTAGATAAAATTATTTAAGGAGGGACGGATGCAATCGTTGTAGTGTGTGTGTTTTTTATTTATAGTGGTAGAAGCCCTCTATCTGAAAGCATCTTAAGAGATTTACCATTTTCAATATATTATTAACCCATCCATCACCACTAAATAAAGTGTAATTGCCATTTTCCTTTCTCATCAGCTCGTATTGACAAAGACAAAAATGAGTCTGGGACTGAAGAGCCAAAACCAAAGGTAAGCTGACAAGTGCATGAACACACACATGCTTCTTCGTCTCAGCATTCTTGGCTTTTCTTGAAATTTTGTTGCTGTCATTGATTGTTTGGGAAGCAGATTGTCTGCTTTTGGTTAGAAATGGTTAGAAATCTTTAAATGTAGTTTAGGTATCCAAAGTGTTGTCTGATTATCCATGAAGTCCTGTTTTTGGACTGTGGAACACTTCTTTAATTCTGGTTTTGGATTCTTTTGCTTCTCACTGCTCCCGCCCCCCGGCCCATAATGTGAAGAATCCCCTTAAACAATGTCTTTGTATACCTAAGAGATTACTTTATTCTCTGTCACTGAACTAGATCTGGACACTTTATTCATGTGCCAGAATTTAATTCAAGCTTAAATATCTCTAGGAAAGGATTTATGTGTGGGATGACTTCTGTCGGTTCGAATTAAGCTTTTAACAGTGTGAAGTTTCAATGTGTATTTAATTTTAGCTTGATTTTATCATGTATTTATGTATTATAAAGCATAACCTATATAGGACCTAATGTTGAGATGGGTAGAAATCTAAACAAAAAGCATAATTTTATATATTGTTAATTAAGACCGTTTCCTCTTTGGCCTATGCATGCTGTGTGAAATCAGGAAATCTCATTTTTTGGCTTTATGATTTGAATTTGAAGAGTTTTTTGACCTTGGCATTATTAGGAATAAATAAGGACGTGTCTGAAGATGTGATAAGACAAAATTGATCAGGGCAGCCACAGGAAATTTGAAAAGAAAGGTTAGTTTGACAAAAACCTAAAGCTGCTTGGAAGAAGCCCATGATTGAAAGTGCAACAGTCTTGCATTGATCCAAATATCTCTTGCTTATTCTTCCCAACTACTGTTCCTTAGGGTTGTCATAGCTTTTTAAGCTTTAAACTGTGTTTCTGAAACAAACAGAAACTTGTAAAGATGGAAAGCAGTTCAGACCCTCATACATACCATTAGCAATTCCTGTGTAAGAGAATAAATGCCAAACCAGTGGAAATAGAAACATGATATCTTATTTCAAACACTCATCTGATTAATTCTTCAAAGGCTTGTGATTTTGGTCCTTGATCTCTCTAAGGATGAGATACCTGGCATGAAACACTGATAAATCCTTTCTTATGTCAATGTAGTGCAGAGAAAGAACTAATTTCTGTTATGTTCTAACTTTTTAGCATGCTTATGGCCATTTACCATTTTTACTTTATTTTAACCTCCTCCTCCTTTCTGTTTATGAATTACTTTTATCTCATGGTGATCTTTGGTTTAATTGTATTTTGTTTACATGTTTTAAAGACATCCATATCATCTTCTGTCAAAATCCCGAAAAGTAGATCCTTTTTTACCCCCAAACAAAACTCTTCTATTAGTTCTGTCCCATCGAAAAAACCCTTCAACTTTGCTGAGTTCTCAGTACCAACTTCTGCCCCTAAATGCATATCTTCTATCACTTCCCGACCAATCAATACAGGAACAAAAGAGACGAAAGGCAAGGTAAGGAAATAGTTAAAAAAACACTTGAAGAGGGAGCTGATGGGGGAGACATCTGTTTATCTTACTTGATCTGTTTCCTGTCATTGTGCTACTCTGTGTTTTCACAAATAGTTTGGATTACCCTTACTATTTCCTAAGAGTCCAGATGTGGATATGTTTCATTTGGTTATGACTACCACTCCACTCTCCTATATTTTTTCTGCCACTGCAAGGGAAAAAGCTAGGATTGAACTGTGTTTTTTAGGGAGTTAGCTGAGTTAGGGAGCAGTTCCTTGTAATGGTTAAATGAATAGCTTGAAAGTGTACTCAAATTATGTTTCTTTAATTCTAATTCACGTTGAATGAAGTCAGCAAAGCTTGTCACTTGATACATGAGCTCAGATGGAGATGTGGCTATTTTAAGGCAGGTTCAGTGGCTATTGCACAACTTTGAAATGTAAAGAAGAAAAAAAAAGAACCAGCTGAGTCTAATATGCTTAAATGCTTCTTTTTTTGTGTTCATATTTATTTGCCTAGGTAATGGCCGCACTGCCTTTATATTGACAATGGATATATAAAACATTTGAATTGTTGTTCAGGTTTTTCAGAGGACAGACATATTTTGCATATTGGCCACGCTTACCTCTAAATCTTAGCAGGTGGTGCTGATGTAATATGAAGGATTTATTTAACAATCACATATTTTTACCTGTGTCAGATTTTCCTACTAAATAAAGGAAATGTGAAATGGGTGCAGATATTCCGTTAATGGGTGTTAAGAGATTATGTATGAGTATTAGGACATGGAATATCTGCTCTAAAATACATGAACTTGAGAGCCAAGGATTAAAGTAGCATAAACTACATACTTCCCTTTCTTGATGGTGTTAAGACTGGAACCTAAATAACCTGTTCACATTAGCTATAGGCTGACTTGATTCTGGAGAAGTTCCTGAGTTTACTTCCCTGGGGTTCATAATGGGACTAATGAACAAAATCATTATGAAAGAAGACAATGAAAAAGTAAAGCCTCATACAAAACATGTAAGCACATGGTAAAGTTATGCAGTGGTTGTGAATCAATTTATTCCTTAGGTTTCCAAAAGTTACTCTGAAAATATGCAAGGGAAAGGAGAAAGCTCAATTAGTTCTTCCTTTGTTAGTCTGTGAACAGTGAGATGAATGTTGCTATTTCCTCATTCTTTCACCAGGGTCCAGATATGAAAGGTGCAACAAAGATCGCCACTGCACGCCCTGCTGTGGCACAAAACCAGAAAAGCCCAGCTGGTGCTTCCCGGATCCCTGCCAAAACTCCTACCGTTCCCAAGACACCACCCAGCCTTGGTAAGAATAAAACTTGTGTCTTGATTCTGTCCTGCATAGAGATTCAGGATAGGGTTGGGATGAACCCTATTGGAATCTGCTCTGCTATCCATGGATTTTCTCTTGTACTTGGCTTGGTCCTGCAAAGTGAGTCGAGCCAAGAGGATGTCTGTGAACACTTGCAGACCCCTGGTTGAACAACCACCAATTTTCTCATCAAGTGCAGCTGCTCAAAGGGAGGCTTCAGAATGCAGAAGAGGGGTGCTGCTGGCGGTTGCATGGGCAGCCATTCCTTGTGACCCCAGCGACTAGCCTCCTTTCATGTCTGGTGCAGCAGGAAGAGGAACATTTCTCAATTCCTGGCAAGTGCCACATGAACATTGGGTGTACTTGCCATGCACTCAGACTCAGGGCTGCTGTAAAGCAGACTGGAGTCCATGGAGCAGAGCCCAGGGAATCTGGTGGACTCCTACCCTCAGACAGATTCCTTATATATCCCTACTTTAAGGTAATACTCCACAAGGAAAGCAAACAGCCTAATGTTCAGTTTAACTGGGATCTTTTCACCATATAAATATAAATACTTCATGATTTTGCTTTTAATGATCATGTTTGCATGGGGTTACACTTCCCTGTGTATCTCGAGGGCTCCCCTGGAATCTTCTTTGTCGTTTAAGAGTCAGGTGGCCTCAGTGGTACATTGTGGCCCAGCTATGCCCTTATTTGGGCAAGCATCACTTTACTTCTATAATATGTGCTTTGGAAACTCCAGGTTAAATTACTGCAATGTGGTCTGTGTGACCTTTGAAGATTGTTCAGAAACTGCTCCTTGTGCAAAATGCAGTGCCCAGATTGATAACAGGGTCTAGTAGGTTCTGACATACAACTCTGAACCTGTCCTGCTTCCACTGTCTGGCTGTAAATTTTGGAGAGCAATTCAAGAGGTTGGTTTTTGAGCTATAAAGTCTTATACAGCTTAGGACCACAATACCTGATGGATCACTTCTCCCAAATGAACCTATCTGTACACTACAGTTGTAATCTGAGAGCCAGTTTGGTGGTAGCAACCAGGAATTATTGCAATTATCTTCCCTGTGGGGTCCTGTTGGTGTCAGTACTGTCAACATTTTGGTGCTGGGTTAAGACCTTTCTCTTATCTTAGGCTTTTGACAGCATCGGATACAGTTTTTAACAGATCCTGGAATTTCTTATTATTTCTTATTAAAAATTATATGTGTGCATGTGTTCATAAATTGTATGTGAAAGGTTTTCCTATTATGTTATAGTATTGCGTTTATGGCTTTTAATCTTTGCAAACCACATAGATAACTTTCTATATTGGGCAGTATAGAAATATAATAACTGTAACAAAAAGGAAAAAGGTCCAAATGAAGTGTTATAGACCTTCCTCTGTGCAATTTTCTTGGAAGTAGATATAATCAAGAACACATTTAGTACCTGTGGATACAAAGCCTTCTGAAAAGACTGAGGTGATTCTGTGGAGAGAGAGACTTGAAGTTGACACAGTTTAACATCTAACAGGGCTAGAATCTCAATGAAAGTACATGAGAAGTAGGGTGCTTCCAGACAGGGCTTATATTGCGGTGTTGTTCTTTTTTAGATCTGGAATTTATACCTTTCTCTTTTCCTATTTGTACTCCTGCTTTTTTTAATTTTTCCACCCATTCTTCCACCATTTTTCTTACCATGAAAAAAACTTTTAAGGAGGGAAAGTGGAATAGCTTGCACATGCCTTTTGATTATTACTTTTAATACCGCTTTGTCTGGAAGCACCCATTCTTCTTCATGGTGTCTAGGCATCACACACATGGACTCTGTGCCTGTGTGGTGCTTGTAATTAGGAAAATTTAATAGCTGAGAGTGTTTTGACAGGAACCCCCCTCTCGGCATCCATAGAAATGGAAGCGGCTCCTTCCATTTCCCTCAGTTCTTCTTCTACTGTCTTTAGTGCCTCGGGGTTTTTTCCTTTCTTGTTCTTATATCCTCAGAGCAGTTTTACCTATTTTCTAATATTTCTAAGCATATTTCCTTTGCTTCGCAATTGCAGTTCGCAATTGCTTACAAATTTTCTCCCTTAACATTTCATAAAAAATAAAAAGAAATCCTCTTTGTCTACCCTCACTATCTCCTTCTGCCTCTCTTTCCATTTGTGCCCCTTTTTTCCCATTGGCATTGAAGGCTCCTTTTCATAAATGTGTCCATTGCGACACCTGAATGCTTCCCTCTGACAGGCATTCTTTGTGCTTCTTGTGCCTGGGAGAAGGACATATTGAATAGTGCCTGCCAGGTTTTCTCCAAACAGGCACAGAAGCAAAGGGCCCATCATCCCCTTGCAGAGCTTTGGAATATGGGCTTGCTTGAGACTTCTCACCTGTCTACGGCACCCTCTCTCTACTTGGGCAGGTCCATGCCACAGCCACCACTCCTTCAGTGACCCTCTTGTTCACCCCTTCACCACCCCCTATTCTGGGCAAGATGGTTAAGCATTAAAAGGCCAAGAAACTGACTGAACAGGGAAAGGAAACATGTTCCAAAGAGCCAGTGGTCCCAAAGTCCAAGTGGTGTTGCATGGAACCATGCCTTGTAGCAGCACGCAAGGAACCGCCCATAGATACTTTTCTCACATTCTCAAGACCAGCACCTGTATCAAGACCTGAGGCCATCTCGGCATCAGTACTGGAGGCTGAAAATGGGGATATGCCACTGTCTCAATCCCTTCCTTCCTCGACAGTCTTGAGGGCACCTGTGGTACTATCCCTGGTCTGAGCACCATTGGAGGTGTTTGGTAGTGAGGTCCGTAGGGAACATGTGCATTCTCCACTTTCAGACTGGAACAGGTGTTAGGTTTCAGTGGTACTGTAATTGTATGAGGGCTTCTTTCACCTGTGAGGACACCAGTGACCTGCATATGACCCCTGACCCAGTGTAGCATACCATGCAGATATCTTGGGGGAGTGTAGACAAGTTGCTAAACTGCCACTGCTTCAGCCACCAATACCATCCTGGCCATCTTCAGCCTGAGAGTTCTGTCACTTTGTGGAACCACCTGCTCCTCCTGCACCAGCCTGCCAGTCAAGCTGTCCTGCAGCACCTCTTTCCAACCCACCTTCACTGACAAACATCAAAGATTACTAGTCCAATGAAGACACCTCCCCATCTGTCTGTCCCACCCTTTTGTCTCCAGATGTGGCTTTGGATACAATGGAGCCCACCTCACCATTAGCCCTGGGCAGCTTCACTGAGCAAATCCAGTGAATGGACCAGGCCTTCAGGATCCAGACACACATGCAGCTGGAGAAAATATTGAATCCAATCTCCAAAGTTGTGCAGTTCAAGGAATCAATGCCAGTTGCTATCCCATACCTTCCAACCCTTCTCCAGACCTCCCAGCAGTCCTGGAAGGCTCCTTCATCGATAGCTCCAACATTGAAATGATGGGAGGGAATGTATTACATGCAGAAGAAGGACATGGCCTTCCTTTTGCAACATCCCAAGCCACCTCTGTGGTTGTTGAATTGGCTCAGGGAATATCTTGTCACCAACACTCCATCCCAACACTACCTAGATACTCTTCGGAGGTGCATCTATGCCTCAGCGTTCCTGGGACTAAAGGTGGCTAGTTACCAGGCCACAATGGTGAGGTACCAGCTCTTGCTCTGGGAAGAGCTGGGCTCCCTGTGTGTCTGCCTACCGGAAGAGCAACAGGATCTCACTAGGGTATATCAGAATGAGGCAGTGCCCTTCTCAAGGATACAAATGAATGCCACCAGACATCAGACAGACTGTGGGACCAAGGAATTGTTGGCTCAGTGGCGCTCAGGAGGCACACATGGTTATGCTCCTCCATTCTCACGCAGGAGGCCCACTCCTGTATTGAGGACCTGCCCTTTAGTGGGCATGGGCTCTTCAATACAAAGACAAGCAAGCACATAAATGGCATCCGCAAGGTGAGGACAACAGCATGGAGGATGGGGTTCTTCCAGTATCCCACTGCCAGCCCACTTAAGTGGCTTGGGTAGGGAACTTCCTCTTTTCCCCACCTGCAGACAGCCAAGGCATAGAAACAGAGCGAGTCAGAAGGGATCTCCTGGGCCATCTAGTCTGACCTCTGGCACCAGCCGGCTCCACTCACGACATAATGCCACCAACAGCCTCCTTTTCATAGGAGGAAGGACAATGTCTGCTGAGACTACCAAAGCCAAAGGTGGACAGATAGGGGCAAGGGAAGGAGGTGATAACTGTTTTTAAGAGCTGCCTCCTTGCTTCCCTTTATACCACTGCCCCTCTGTTTTTGATTTTTGGAACTGCCTCTCTCTCCACTTGCCTGCAGGGCAGGCAGTTATATCAGAAACTTGGGTGCTTTCTATCATTTGGAGAGGTTACAGAATCAAATTTGATGCTTTCCCACCCATTTGTACTATGCGCACAATACCTACATCTTCAGCGCTAATGAAAGAGATTCACTCGCATCTATCAAAGAGGACGATTGAGTGAATCCTGAGCCCTTTGCTCACCATGGGTTTTTCTCATGTTATTTCACTGTACTGATGGAAGGCTTTGTCCATTCCTGGACCTAAGAGATGTTAAGTTCTTTATCTCTCCTAAAAAAATTCCACATGTTTACTTTACAGGCATTCTGCCCCTTCTCCAATGAGGAGATTGGTTTGCATCCATTGATCTCACGGATACTTATTTCCACAATTTCTGTAGCACTCTACCATAGACATTTCCTTCACTTCCAAGCTGGGAGAGAGAAGTTCCAATTTTCTGTTCTACCCCTTGGACTCTCAACTGCCCCCAGTTTTTTTATGAAGTGTATGGCCATGGTGTGGCCCACCTTTGTCATTGTGGAGCCTGGTAGCTCCAACCAGAATGAAACTTTTTTGTGGCAATTCACACCATGTGCAATCTACTGGACAGACTTGAGACTGTGTATAAACTCAGAAACCTCTAGGTTTTTTTCCCCTTCCCTTTCTATACTTTCTGTTGGGGCATGCATAGACTTCACCAAAATGGCAGTGAAAGTCATATCCCCATTTCATTTAAACCAAGACATTGTTTTGCTGACTTTCTTTCCATCCTTGTCCAGGCTGGTGGAGTCTGCTCTTCATACCATGGATGTGCGTAGAACTGAATCTCTCAAACTTTTTGTTTACAATGGAGGCAAGGCAAAGGGTCAGCCCCTTGTGCCACAGAGACTTTCAGGCTATACTGTTTGTACAAGCACACTGGCTTACAAGCTAGCTGGATTGCAACTCCTGGTGCAACCTAAAGCACACTCAATCTTTGCAAAGCGGCTAGTTGGTCAACTCCATCTACCTATGCCAAGTATTAGTGCCTTGATGTTCTAGCCAGAACCACCTGTGTTTTTGGGAGAGCAGTCCTTTTGGCAATACTCGGATGACAACCCCCTCCCCTCAACATGTATGGATAAGCTTGCTAGTTGCCCATATGTGTGATGCATGGAGACCACAAAGGAGAAAGGCAAGTTGCTTTCCTGTAATTGTTGTTCTTCAAGTGGTCATTTGTGCATTCACACAACCTACTCACCTACTCCACTGGGTGTCATGAGCAATGTAGGTGTCTCTGTGTGTTTGTCTTTTTGTTTCTGTTTTTTCCCTTCCTTAACAGTGGGTATGGTACTACTTCACTGAATGTGGAGTCGGTACTGCTGTTCTACCATTACCAGCTTTTATGATACTGCTCACTAATACAGGATGGTTGCTTCACTCTATGTGGGGCTGGTACTACTTTTCCTCCCTTAGTCCCGAGGCCACCAGGCAATTTTCTTGGAACTGAGGGAAATGATGGGAGTTCCTCCCTTTTACATGAACACCAGCAGGGAGGAGTTCCCACCAAAACAATTTCAGCCATTAGATCTTCCCAAGAACAGACTCTGTGCAGGTGCAGAGCCCAATGTGCAGAGACCACTCGAGGAATGACAGTTACAGGTAAGCAACTTGCCTTTGTCTTTTCCCACTCAAAATCATAACCTGAACTTTTAATGAACCTACAAAAGTAGTCATGAGTTTTCTATAATTGTATTTTTATCCAGTGGACCTTGGTGAACAGATTTTTCAATAGAGTGCTCTGGGATAATCAATCTTCTAGAACAATGCTATATATTTCCATTATATGACAATTATTCCACTGCTATGTGGATGCTTTTGTTTTGCTAAGAGCAAGTATCCCACAAAACATTATAGGTTCATTGCAGGATTATTTTTCTTCTTTCAGCTGCCAAGAAGGAGCAGAAGCGACCAGCTACCACAGCAGCAAAATCTGAGAGAGGTGAAGAAAAAAATAAAGGTTTTCTGTTTCTTCTTTATCCCTAAAGACTCCCAAGTCAGTTTTCTGGCACTGATCTAGACTCGGTGAATCCTTGATATTTCCATTAGCACTCATCTTGGTAGTAAAATATGATTTGACATATTAAAACAATTTTTATTCTTATTGTTAGAAAAACAAGTAGCGACAACAGAAACAACATAAAAATGCAGCACACGATATACACCTGTTTATTCTTGTTTTAGAGGCTTAAGGGAGTCATAGGACTTTTTTCAACTAAAGATGCTTAGGATTGTACCCTTAATAAATAAAATTAATGCAGCCTCATGAGCAGCAGTTGTTTGGTTGACTTCAGTGTTTCCCTAAAAGCCTCTGAAATACCAAGGTTTTGCATTTCACTGGAAGATGAGGAATTCAGATCCAAAACTCAATTTTATAGATTGATTGATTTATATCCTGCCCTTTTCCTACAAAGGGCTCAAGGCAGCTTACATCATTCTCCTCCTCCATTTTATCCCCACAACAACCCTGTGAGGTAGGTTGGGCTGAATGTCTGTGACTGGCCCAAGTCACCCAGTTGGCTCCATGGCTGAGCGGGGACTAGAACCCAGATTGTCTGAGTCCCAGTCCCAGGCTCTTAACCACTATACCACACTGGCTCTCTGGGTTAAAAATTTAACCCAGTTTTTAAAAAATGCATTTCCATTGACCACTCCTCAGATGATAGGCAAATATAGGACTAGTTTTTAGATGTAGACCGAGTGTGTGAGTGGGTCCATAGGTTTGAAACAAGCACTTCGAAGTGAAACTGGAAAGAAAGAAGTAGTCAGTTACGTGCTTCATTTGGTAAGTTCCAGTGAGTATTCTGACAGCTGGTGTTTAAAACAGTTGTAGTCTCCGACTGTTCTTCAGAGGCAGCCAAGTAAAATGTATGACAGTAGTGTCATAGGGATGTCCCTAAAGCATGAATGAACATAAAATACAGCTTTGTTTCTTAGACATTTTTTTCTCAGAACAGTGGCTTGGTCTTGGAACCCAAAAGAAGATAGTGTAGAGGAAGAATGAAAATACCTCTTTACCTTTTTATCTATATTCATTATTATTATTATCTATATTCATGTTAAGCCTTTCTGCTGAGATCAAAGTCAGCTCCAGCATAATGGAACTTAACCCATTGCAACTCACTGATTCTGTTAACACCATCAACCCATGGTTGAAATGTGAAAATCTTTATTGAATATATGCAGGTTCCTTTTGATGACAGTAGCCTGTTTTGGTGCAGGAATGTGCAGCAACATCAGAGCTGCATTGGCTGTCTGCCAGAGTAGTGGGGACCTCAGATGGAGCAGGAGCCTCATTCCTGGAGTATCCTAGGAAATAAGCAGGAACCTTAAATCCCAACTTCCCAGAATGTTCTAGGAACAAATTTCCTGCTGTATGGCAGGAGTCATAGACCCTTCTTCTAGAGGGTTCATTCCTTCCCTGATTTTTCAGCACCAGTCTGGAGGCTGCAAGATAGGGTTGGAAGGAGCACGCTTTTTATATCCCTGTTTTCGTGGGTCTGTGGCTAGCCAAATGGCTTGGTACATAATTCACTGTTATGCTAGTTTCACACTCTGTCACCCAGCAACAAGTCTCGTTTCTTCAGAACAGGAGCAATAATATATAATGTGACAGCAACGGCAGCATGCATATCAGGAGTGCAAAACTTGTTTAAGACCAAGGGCTGACTTACACTTTGGAGAAAAGTACAGGGACTGTATTCCAGTGGTGGTAAGGCAGAATGGCCAGGGCCAAAAATAGCAGCACATTATAGCTTAAAGTACTTACTTCCAGTAATATGATACACTTGTTGATACAATGGTGACATATGGGTTGGTCTACAGTTAGGTGACTCTTCCATTAACTGAGCAACCACACTTAAATGAATTCTAATACATGGGTCGTCATCCTCTTGTCTAAAAAGATAAATTTAAAATCTTACATTCATACAGAAAATTCAAAGGGACCTGGTTAAGCAGGAATACCTGTAGGTGTCTTGGTGGCTTCCAAGCTGGATAGGAGGCAGTAGTGCCATGCAGTCGCTAAGGAAGATAAGGCTGTCTTGGGCTTGGCTGCATTAACCAGCAAGACCTCCATATCCGCTGTTTCAATTACCACGTTTTCATTTAAGCATGGTTGACCTCAGTCCAAAAGAGAAGTCATAAAGTGCTTCCTTTCAAGTGAAAATTCTCAATTTAATAGGGAAAGAGAAGAAATCGTATAAATTGTATGCCAAATTTGCTAGGATGGATGGTAAGAACAAATTGTCTGTCTGTGAAAAAAGAAATGTATATGTACAGTATATAGTGTTTGATATTATCTGTGGTGTCAGGCATCCACTGGGGGGCTTGAACCTATCCTCACAGATCTGGGGGTCCTGTTGTACTTCCATTCTGTTACTCAGGCTGTGTTTGGACTACCATGTCCAGTTTTGACAGCTCATTTTAGGAAATATAATTTGGGGTGTGTCCTGAGAAGAGCAGCTAGGATGGTGAGGAAATTCCTAGGATGAGCAGTTGAAAGAGCTGGGTATGTTTAGCCTGCAGAAGAGACAGTTAAGGGGAGGCATAATAGCAGTCTTCAAAGATCTGAAAGACTGTCATGTAGATGAAGGAGCAGACTTGCTTTCTGTTGCTGCAGAGGACAGTACTAGAAAACTGCAGAAAAACAGATGTTGGCTACGTGTTAGCAGCAAATTCCTAACAATGAGAGCTGTTCAGTGGTGGAGCAGATTGCTTTGGGTGGTGGTGGGTTCTTCTTCACTAAGACATATTTAAGCAGAAGCCCCATGGCTATTTTTCAGGGTGGTGAAATTGCATGTTGCAGTAAAGAGCTTGCATTAAACAGAGGTTTAGGCTAAATGATCTCTTAGGTGCCATCCAATTCTGATTCTATGAACTAAGTCCTAGGAGAGGAATTTCAAATTTGTAGAATGGAGGAAAAAACTACACAAAAGATGTGAAATCACCAGGCAATGGCTAGGGAAACAAGGATGAGGACAGGGGAATAGGGCTAGGGTTAGACCATAGGATGGCTGGATTTTGCTCCTGGATCTGAGGCTTTGCACCCCAGATGTATATCGTGGAGGGGCACACTGAGCTGGGGGATTGCAGGTAATGTGTATATTTTATAAAGGTTGTATGCTGTTCCATTTGAATTAATAAGTTCTATTTCCTGCTGTTGATGACAAGTCATGGTGCTAATGCTGATGTTTGAACTTTATCACAAGATTGAAAGGCACATTTAATTTGAGCTTTAAGGACTGGCTCATTTTTATCATTTTAGAACTAAAATAAAGTTGAATGAGAACATGTGTGCTAGGTTCACAGGTTCAGGTTTGCATGTTTCAGGTTCACAGAAGGCACAGCAAATTTGCATTAGTTAGAATGCAACTAAAATATACACATTAATTGTGACCCTATGCAGTGGTATAATGGAATGATCACTGCTCAGATAGCATTACACTTTTTCCTAGCTAGATGTTGAGAAACTTCCACAACAGTTATTTCAGTAGAGTGATACTGTGATGTGGAGTGGATATAGATTTAGGAAAGGCTCTGTTGTATGTACAACTAATAATATTGATTTATGTATTGTCCTTTGATCTCACATTGTAGGTGAACCTGTAAAGTCTGGAGATAGAAGTGGATACAGCAGCCCTGGCTCTCCAGGAACCCCTGGCAGTCGCTCCCGCACACCCTCCCTGCCAACTCCACCAAACAGGGAGCCCAAGAAAGTGGCAGTGGTTCGCACTCCACCAAAATCTCCTTCTTCTGCGAAGAGCCGTTTGCAGACAGCTCCCGTTCCCATGCCAGACCTGAAAAATATCAAGTCTAAGATTGGTTCTACTGACAACTTGAAGCATCAGCCAGGGGGTGGAAAGGTAAATCCAGCATACCTTTTAGTCTTGTGTGGGAAGATATACAGTACAGGTTTGGATTTAGGTAGTGTGTTTTCTTCTCTTGACCTGTACTGGAGCTTAGGTGGCCACAAGTTCTAAACTGCTATTTAGAACTTCTGGCCCCCAGTTTGCAGTTTATGTGGGTAGCACAGCAATTACGTTTCTTGCTGTAATGCAAAATTTCTGTCTGGAAAGAAAGTGCCTCTAATTTTTGACTGAAACTCTGCCTCCTGACCTGAGTACCTTGCCCTTCTGCACTTTGGGAACCACTGTACTTCAATACATATGCTGGTTGTTTTCCCCATACCATGTTAAATTATTGTATTCATTCTGTTTCTTGGTTCTGACCTCAGCCTACTTCCACTCAAAAAGAACATGAAGCATCTTTGAAATGGCATGGTGTTCAGAGTGCATTTGTATGTGCTATGGGTTTTTGCTTGTTAGAAAACATTTAGCATCTGAACATAGCATTAAGCTGATGGAATGAAAGGAACATTTAGTTCTTACAGAAAACAGTTCTTGGAGGGAGGAGTGCTGGATTTATGCCTGTTTAAAACTATGACAAGGAATAACTGACTTAACTGTAGAGGGCACTTTGTAGAAGAATACCAGAGGTTCCATGGGTAGGAATTTCGAGATCTTCAGTACCTGTAACTTTGCAGCTTCTGGGAGCAGCATAGTGATGTTGCCAACATGCAGAGGAAGAATAGAAATGATTGACATTTGAGGACTAAGATAATCTCCAGTTATGTTCATATATGCAAGTTACTTTCACTACTTGGAAAATTTACTTTAGTGCTTAATTTTAGGTGTTAGACTGGACCTTAGTCCAGTAGTTGGGAAAGGAATAGATCTGACAGATTATCTTCCTTTAACAGGAGATTCCAATATGAGTTCATTAATTGCCAACTGTGCATATTTAAGTATTATGCCCTTATATCAAATGTGTGAGTAACAATAAAACAGCTGGCACTGGAAATAAAGAGAAAAGTTAGTACCTTTAAAAAAACCGTTGCATTTTAAGTTGGCCAAAATTATTCCAAGAAACTTACCACATTGTAATTTAAAGACAAAATTTAAAGACATAAACAGGAATGCATAAACAATTCGAGAGTACTGACTGTGAGAATTTCGTACTTAATGAGTCATCAGTATGTTAAAATCAGCTACTAGCAAATGCTTCTCATCATAGGAATAACACTATATCAGTATGAAATCCACCCAAAGCATATTCTCTTCACTCAGATTTCTGCAGCCTCTGCAAATAATGGTCCAAATAGAAATTACTATCCCTGTTTTACAATTGACAGATTGTGACTTCCTCAGACAATACAAGAACTGGGATTGAAAGCTCTCTCCAATAATATGGCTTAGGAACACATTAGAAAGAAACTACCATTTCCCACCAGAACAGATCACTTGCTACAATTTCAGGACCAATACATATTTTTCTAAAGATGCTTTGAAAAAGGTAATTTAGACCACAGAAAACATTGATAAAGTAGCATTTGACAAGGCCAAGACAATACATTCAGAATTATTTGCAAAGCAAGAGTTAGAATGTCAGTTTGGATGTACAAACTTATTTGAGGCAGATTGTGGGACTGAAATCATGTGTGTTTCAGTTTTGTAATTGTTTTACTTTGTTGGTAGTGCATTACATGTAGCTTGATGCAGTGCTGATCAAGATGGCCCACAATTCATCAAGCTAAAAGGGTTGTGTGTGTCTGCTGGAAAAGAACAATGAAAGCACAATTCTTTGTATCCAGTGAGGGTATCCCAGAGCAGTAGGATATTGCAAAGCTCCCTCTTGTTGAACAGCAAAAAGTCTGCCATTAAGAGCCTCTTTGCTTGGCTAGCACAATGCTCTGCTGCCATCCTGAGAGTTGGTAATTGGCATACCAGGGGTATTCAGGTGAAATCCTGATAAGGGGGAAGAACAGTGCCAGCCCAGGAACTGAAATATGGGAGATAAATAAAAAATGGTTGTCTGCAGCCCAGAGAGTTGCAAAAAACCTACCCCACTTTTTTTGACCCAACATGACCCTGGTGGGACTATACTTTTGGCAGATCTTTTGCTACAGCTTTTTCCTTCCCTGTCCCTATGGGATTTCTCTGCCAGCTATATGGAGTAGTCAGGGAGCACAGTTGTTTGTGCTGATAGCCCTCCCTCCAGTAGTGGAGAGGCAATGTTATTGTTGTGCAGGAACATAATATTACATATAAAATATATGTGGAAGGTGGTAATTTTTGAATTTATTTGTGATACTGCCCGTTCCAGGTGAAATGTGAATAACTTCATCTTCATTCTGGGATGATGGGATAGGCAACTCTGCCTCTGGTGGGTGCTTCAGGCCAGTCATTATTAATAGATCTGTATAACGTCTGTGCTTCATCTTTAAAAAGACTGATAATTGTACAAAGATACTCTTAACTATGTCAGAACCAGACAGATCCATGTAATGAATGTTGCCCCAAACCACAACAAGGAGTAAACATAATATTTTTAATAGGTGCTCCATGTGAGGTGCATCTTGTGGAATTGCTACATTTTGCTCACTCGGTTATTGCAGGATGTCTACATGTTTTTATCAAATCCTAGACCTCCTGTGTTTCCCAAAAATTCATCAGAGTGCACAAATACAGTAAAACAGCATAAAACAGTTATATAACCAGCATAAACAATTTATGGAACAGTTTATCAGTTGGAACAATTTTTATACAGCTGTCCTCGTTAAAAGCAGCTGACTATTCTGCGTTGCTTTTTAAAGTCCTGCTCTTGAACTGTGCAGTGATGTATTAGGTGGGTCAACCTACTTTTTATGGATTACTTCCTTGATTGTTGGAGGGAGGAAGTAATCCTATGGCAGCCCATCTTGGTAAATCACTTTGGTTGGTTACTGTTATTTGCCAAGCACCCAGAATGAGCCTGATAGATGATCAGGCTCCTTTATATAGATTTCTTGGTTCCCTCCTGCCCCCTTTTCTTTCATTTTGCCTGGTAAGTATCCTAAGGGAGCCCATGTGGAGGAATGAGCTTCTTTGACAGCTGCAATAGTGAGCCAGTTTTGACTTTGCTCAGCTGTTAAGGAATCTTCACTAGGCAAAGAGGACTCATACCCTGCTACTCAACTGGGAAGGTGATTGGGGACCCTTGCCTCCTGCTTCGGAGGAATCTTCTGGAACAGGAGGTGGGTTGCCTGGTCCACTCTGCACTACTGTCCCATACTTGGGGCTGCCTTTTTCTGGCTCCCAGCAACTGCCTGGGAGTGATCTACACAGGCAGGTCTCAGTAGGGCTGCCCTGGTTCAAGGCAGTGCCCCCAAGTCCATCTCCCTCTCCTGGCTCCTACTTGAGAGTTTTTCTCCCAGGTAGAAAGATGGACCATGGTGGGGATGCTTCATTCTGGGCACGTACATGGCTCTGCTTCTGTCTGGGAGTAAAGCGCTCAGGTGGGAGCCAGGAGTGGAGCCATGGGCTCAGTGGAGCTGCTCTCAAAATGGAGTATCTCTGTTGAGCCTGTGATCCAAACTCTCAGGCTCTGCTTACTTGCAGGTAGGAGCAGGGAGGGGAACCATGGGCTCAGTGGGGATGCTCTATTTTCTGAGCACCCCGTTGTCCCCATCGCTACATGCCTGCCTGGGAGTAGCTCAGATAGGCAGAAGTGGGGGGATGGGCCATGGGTTTGTCAGGGCTGCCTTGATAGTGGAGCAATGCCGTCTAGCTGATCTCAGGCTCCCGTGTCCCATTGTAGAGTAGCTCTCTGGACCAGGAGGGATGACCCTGATAGCTGCTGCAAACTGGGGCAGCTGTCAAGTGCACTCTCAGGGTGGTCAGTTGGCAAGAGCAGCAATGGCAGTTTTAAAATAATGAGCTCGGGTGCACTTTCCTTTCTCCACTTTCATACAAGGCTGGCTTCCCATGGCAGGTTGCTCTGCCTCTCAGCAAAGCAGCCTACTAGGCATTGGCATTGATGATGTCCTATGCAACTCTGGGTCCCATGGCAATATAATTACTTTTTCTTTCCCTTTTTCTTTCTCTTTCTTTCAGCTTCTCCAAAGAGGTTGGAAAGCTCAGAGTAGTGCAGATGGTGGTGGTGCTTCTCCATTTTTGGCTGTTTGTGCCCATGTCTGGCACCTCTGCTTTCTGAGAGTAGCAGAAACAGGGTTTCATCCAAGCCACACCTCTGTGGTCAGTCTGGGGATGGCAATGGTGGACCACCTCCATCTGTAGTACATTGGGCTCCCCTTACTTCAGCTCTCGTCACCTGTCCAGAGTGCTGGAAGTGCACTTCTCCTTGCTGCCACTGCCCAGTATCTCTGGGCCCACCTACAATGCGGGAAAGGGGAATGATGGTGGTAAAGGCAGTGCTTGTTGCTGCTTTATCCCATGTTTATGTTTGAGTGCCACAAAATTTAAAAAAGAAAAAAGAGGCTGGTGTCACCCCCCATGTGGCCTCCTGGGCCTTACCGTGTTAGCTGCTGCTGCCAGGCCGGACTACATGCCTGCTAGTGTGAACGGAATGTTGCGAGGTGTACAGTGCTATACTCATGGGAGGATTAAAACTCATTTGTTTATATAGCTTTCAGAGGAAGAATGACAATAGGAGCCACCACTCTGAAGGCATGTGGCTTTCTCTTTTAAAGATTGATGCAAGTTTGATTTCAGACATACTAGGAGTGCCTGGGAGATGAATATGGTTATTACAGTGTTTGCTACGTTAATGGTTGTAACACAATACAGAGACATAAACTGCATCTGACTATGTATCAGATTTTTACCATTTTTCTTGTCATCCCAGAATTCATAAACAAGTAAATAAAGGATAGTTGCTTCAGTGGAACAAATCCTATGCATCAGGGTGGTGCTAGGCATGAAAAAGATTTAGGGCTTAGGTCTATAGCACACACACAAATTTGTATATGCTAATTTATACATGATCTAAGGTTTGAGTGTGTGTGTGTATTTAAAGGGTTGTGTCACCATGTTTAAAAAAGAAATGTATGGATGGAGGACAGGAGGGGATTTTATTTCTGGGGAGAAAAATCAGAAAGATTCAAGGTGGGAGCAGCAGGAGGTGAAATACACGTAGGCAAAAGCCTATTAATTCGAATCATAGAGTTTGAAGGGGCCAAGAAGGCCAATGGGTCCAACCCCTGTTGTTGCAGGACACCAATTTACACCATCCCATAATTGTTGTATTGACAAGGATCAGATGCAGCAGAGATTATCAGGGCCCCAGCAAATGCCCATGGACAGCAGGATGGTGGGGATAGATGACCTCACAGAGATTTGGGGCTTAAAACGAAAGATTATGGGCTCTAGCCGATGGACCATTGCATCACATTTGCTCTTCTATGCATATTTACTCTTAAGTCCTAGTTTGGTTAATGCAGTTTACTCTCAGTTATGCAGCCACAGTCTTCTTGCCTTTTTATGGTTACCAGATTCTGTAGTGAATCCTAGAATATCCAGGAATTTATTTGCAAAGGTAAATGATTTGACTTTACCAGCAACGGTTCAACTATATTTTATACAACATAGATGTATAAGTTCTACATTCAAAACTACGTTTTGTTGCAGTTGTGTGCGGTGACAGATAAGCTATTGGGATTTGCCAGCATATTAGAAATGGAGCAGCCTGGGCTGTGTTGTGTTTTCATTTTTGTTTGTTTTTTAAATGTTCATTTCAGGTCTAATTGTCACAAAACCAAAGCTGAAATTTGAAGCTTCATCTTCAAAGCGAGAATCTTCCTTTGCCTCATCTTGTTTCTTAGATGGCGGTTTCATTTTGTATTGAAGATGGTTGTAGTTGTCACTCATGTTCTTTTTCTGGCTATCAAAGGTGCAGGTGGTTAATAAGAAGCTGGACTTTAGCCATGTCCAATCCAGGTGTGGATCAAAGGATAATATCAAACACACTCCAGGAGGAGGCAGTGTGAGTACTTTCACACAGTTCAGTGCACTATAACACTGTAACTTTTTAGTGGCATGTCTTGTGCATTAACCCTGACGTGCCAACACTGTCTGCTCTGTCAGACAGCTGTTGGTGATACGTAGTGAATTAGCTTGCTACCAGTAAAGATATGGCTTGATTAAACCTCCAGCAGGTCTGTCTACATGGAGAGGTATACAAAGCTAATGGGGCATCAGTTTGGAACAATCTTGTGTTAAGCTGGCTGCTGCTGCTTTCAAACAGTCCTGGAAAAATATATTGCCTAATGCAAGTAAGTGAAGGTACTAATGCAGGGAGCCTAGCAAGTAGAAAGTGCTTCTCAGTCTTGGAGGTGTGTTGAAGAAGAGCTATGGATGTGCTGCATCAAAAAAAAGGGAAAGGGGAAAAATCCAGAACCTTCATCCAGGAAACACGTGTCTGCAGCTCCAAATAAAATATGTAGATATTGTAAATTAAACAAAATTAATCTCTAGATTTACCTAGCATAATTCAACCTGCTTTCATAATTCAGGTTAGTTTTAGCAAGGATTATAGAAGCAGAGGGGAAGGTGGAAAAGAAAAGGGTAGAGAATATAGTGTTAGGTGTCTAACAGAATCAAAGGACTAGAGAACCAGTAGATTCAAGTAGGAGCTGCAACATCTCATAGAATATCCTTAACTACCAATAGCAATGCTTTGGTTCAGGGTTCTGTAGCTGCCATCAGGACAGAATAAACTGTTAGGGGCTCAAGCAAGCCAGTTCTTTCCTGCCTCCCTAGTTTTCCATGTTTTGTTTTTCTAACGGAGATACAACATTTAGTGGTTCTTGGTTTCTACTAAATGTACTCAATCCTCCATGGGTTACTTTTCTTCTTTTGTGGGTTTGGGGAAGGGAGAAACTTTCATGTTTTTTAATTAAAAATGCATTTTTTGTACATCTGCAAATCTCAGCATTCTTGGAAGCAAGTTTTCTCTTGTTTCTTGATGGACCTGTTTTGCCTCCATTTCTGAGATTGCTAATTAGAGTGAAAAATGCCACATGGCACACACACTATCTGCTGATCACTGGAAGTTCTAGTAAGCCCAACTCTAGTTTCTGAATCCCGACACATATTTCTATAGTTTCACTAAAAACTTGCTAGTGTTAAAAATTTTCCTTACAAAATGCAAGCTTCCTGGGTTAGTAGATTTTGAGCTTTTGAATGAAACATTTAGATGCAGGTAGTACAGTAAAGGGATGCAGTGGTGCAATGGGTTGAGCCGCTGGGCTGTCAGCAGTTCAAAGCCACACGGCAGTAGAACACATACGACATACTCTTATGAGATTACGTAGCTTGTATAATTGAACCATTTGCGGTATTTGCTTTGTCTTGCTTAAAATACATTATTTTGTGTTGGTATTGACATGACTATCCCCTGTTGTACCCTGCTACCATTGTTCTGTGTGGTGAGATCATTGTGGGACATTCCAGAAAGTACTATGGAATGGTCTGCTGTGGAAAAATCTTATGAATTAGATTTTAGAAGAAATGTTTATTTTTTAAATCCTGAAAGGTTCTTAGGGCTGCAGTTTCAGATACAAATTAAGAAGCAACACATTATACAATACACATGGGCTAAATTACTGTTATGCTGTTTAATGTACCCATGTATACTCTGGAAATCATAGGGGTTATTAGCAAAGTTGCAATGAGTAAACTGGTGAAAACAATACCCTCCCCCCAAAAGAGAGGTTATTGTAAATATATTTACAAGCTAAAAACATACAGTCATCATACAATGCAATAAAGCATAATCAGACTGTAAAATATGACTTTCAGTAGCAGAGGTAGCCAAACATGTTCTGTCCACAGGCCTAACTTGGTGCTCTAACATGTTAAAAGGTATATAAAAAGTCAAGCAGGAAACAAAGAAATGTTGTAGGACATGGGTCCTCAAACTATGGCCCGGGGGCCAGATCTGGCCCGCCATGCCCATTTGGACCCACCGCACACGTGCCCATGTGTGTGCCTGCCCCTGCCTTGCCTCATGCGCCCACCCGTGCCTCGCCTAAGATCCTCGCCGTGCCTAAATCCTAAGAAGACAATGCCAGCAAATATGGAAAACAAAACAATGGACTGCAGACAGGAAACATGCAATATAAATTCCAGTCCTTAAGGAGATACAAAGGGATGCAGCAATGATAAGATCATTGCACTAATTCCCTATGCAAATGAAGAATGTTACCTAATATGGAGTGAGAAATGCCTGACGTTCAAACTAGATTCTGAAAAGAGACACTTGAGATCATACTGTATATTGTTCATTGTATTGGCTACTGGAGTGCCCCAAAGAATTTAAGATCAGTCTATGTCATAGACTATCTAGGTATTTGACTGCATGGATTATTAGGAGCTATGAATGGTTCTCATAGAAGTGAGCATGCTGAAGCAATTGATTGTCCTACTGCGTAACCTTATATCATGGACAAGATGCTATTGCGAAGACAGAGTATGGAGAAACAGAATATTCCTACAGTAAAAGGCAACAGGAAAGGTTGTATTTTAACTTCCTGTCTCTTCAGTCTGTACACAGAGCAGATCATAAGGAAAGCAGGACTAGAGTCAGAGGAAGGAATGAAAATAGATGGAGGATGGTTGATCATGTAAGATATGCAGATGATATCATATTACTGACAGAAAGCATCAATGAATCGAAGACCAAAGGAAACCACAGCCTTGAATTTTGAGGAGCTGCCAGGGATAGAACCTTTTGGAGGACTTTCATTCATAGTGTCACCTTAAGTCAGAGACAAGTTGACAGCATGTAACAAATATAAAAGTATAAAAAGACACACAGAAAAATGCACTCATAACCGAGCTTCTTAATAATAATGTAAAATACTACAGTGTCTCCATGTGCAATTATTAAATATTTTTTAAAAACATACATGTATATTATATGTTAGAAACCACCAATTTAGGCTCATACTCATGGACCCTAACATATACATTTTTATTATTACATTGCATTAATATCCCACCTTTCTTTCCCTTGCAAGGAACCCAAGGCAGCTTTCAAAATTCTCCTCCTCTCTGTTTTATCCTTACAATAATAACCCAGTGAAGTAGGTTAGGCTGACAAACAGTGACTGGTTCAACATTACCCAGCTGCTTTCATGGGTGAGTAGGGCGTAGAGCCCAGAGTTCCAGTACAGCACTTTTAGCCATTGCATTCCAATGCATAATCATACTTAAATGATACCAGGCTGGAAGGAACTATGAGATGCACAGTTTTTTTCTGAAAATTTTTATATACCAAAGGGTTAATCCAAATACTAATGAGATCATGTTAACAGAAACAAAGAAATGGATCCCTCTTTGTATGCTAGAGTACAACTGCACTTGTGTTTAATGGAGCCTTTGAAACCACAGTCAGTTTCTTAACTGATTCCACCCACCCCACCTCAGTTATTTAAATGAACTGGAGATAAATTGTTTCTTGGTTTTCAGTTAGGAAATATTTCCTTTTTTGGACTTATTTGCTAAGTTTGTTCCCTTTTAAGAGGTATGAATGCAAGAAAGGACCATGAATATTGTACAGGAAGGGCATGGATATTAGGCTTAAAGGAAAGTAGACATTTTATTACATTAAAAAGTTGGGAATCCCCTTGAGTTGGTGTCTCTATAAATCATACTTTGGGGAAAGCCATATTCTTCTTTGTGGGCTCTGTGTTTTACACAGACAAGTTATGTGCCTGCACAAATCAGTCATATGGAACATTCTAGAGCTGAACAGTTTCAGGTGGAGGTCCTACCCAGTTCCTTTGTGCACACCCTGTGCATCCTAGTTCCTTTTTATGTGCCACTGTGAGTAGGAGCATTTAGAACATTCTCCACCTCACAACCAACAAGTTCTCTTTTTCTCTCTTTTTCTTTTACTTTACCCCATGGAGGCACATGGCCTCTGTGTCTGTCTTCAAAAAGCATTCCTGCTGTAACAGATGGACACTCTGTCTACTCAGCCTCTGTGAGGCACACGGGATGCATACCTGTACCCACTGCCAGACCAGAAGAAACATATCATTCTGTGTTGAGGAACAGGTGCTCAAGGCAACAGATGGAGCTGCACTGAGCTGACCCCTGTGTATCAATGTGGCATTCATTTGACAGAAGCCAGCTTCGTATTCTGCATCCAACCATGAAAAGCACTTTAGGGCAATTGTGCCAGATATCAGGGGTGCCATAACCAACTTGTGCCTTAATAACAACTTGGCAATCACTTTGAATCAAAAACTTGAAACCGAGCCCTCATTCCCAGTGATTGAGACCAAACAAGTCAAGCCAACCAAGTCCTGAAATAAGTGGTTTGCTCAGCCTCGGGCTCCAGAATTGGGAAAAAATGACAGGAAGAACATTACTCAGAGGATAGAGTCAGAAAATGAAACTGAGCCTGCACCAGTTACAAAAAGCTATTCATACAGTTCTCCAAGTCTTGTGTGATTGCTAATAGCAATCATAAACAAACTAACTCCCATAGGAGTGCAACTCCCGGAGGGCAGTCCGGGGAATGTCTCTCACCAGAACAGTAACATCACCTCCCTTGAGACTTACTTTGTCAGAAGTCTAGATCCTGTGGATACTGACAAACTTCACTGGTCTTTTTGATCTCCTCAGGAATTTTTCTCCAACGTCACCATGATGTGCCATGGGAAATCCATGGGTGCATCTGTTTCCTCCTTGCTATTAAGAGGATCACTTACCACCAACCTGGGTACTACTGCCCACAAGCTGGATGTGAATGCAACAGCACCTGGTGTACAAAGGTGTACTGTCTCTGATCTGGAGGTAGAATATAGCCACCAAGACTTGTAGCCGTTGACAGTCTTTTCCTCCATGAACTTGCCCGATCCCTTTTGAAGCTGTCCGAATTGGTATTGGTGAACATCTCTGCATATTGTGAGAGTGATTTCCATACTTAAACTATGTGCCATGTGACTTCGTTTTATCTGTCCCACCAGTTAG